GAGTTTTTAAAGACTTCGTAACCAGGCGGTTTTTGAAAAAACAAAAGTTATATAGGTTTCATTCAGCTAATACATAGAGTTCAGTTGCCAAGTCGCGCACATAGTGGGTGAATGCAACCTTTATACAAGCGCCTGGGTACAGGCTGGTCTTCAATCACAGTACGCATTATGGTAATATAACATTTCACACACGATACATACCACAAGAACAATCTCAACAAATTTCAACATACCACAAATTCACTGTTCTTTTGCCTTTTATTTCATTGAAATTTGAAATGCAAGTAGAATAAATTGAAGTAGAACAATAGTATTTGATTCTAAAGTTTGCCATTAAGCATATTTTTGTGCTTTGTTTCATTAAAGAGGCTAGGATGAATAATTCGTTTACCAGATTTCACAAAAATATTGAACAATAAGAGAAAAAGTCCAAACCTCCCGTTAATCGTACCTAGGGGTTATAAAATACGATCAGAAAAGCTCTGCTGCCCTGTATCAGCATGATAAATCTACTTTTTTTGAACAGGGCCGCCCCATTTTGCTGTGGGCCCCAGGTTAGCAATTTGAAGACCTAGTTGTTCATTCTTCATGAATTTATTTGAAGGGCAAAGCCCAATAAATTATTTACCTCTGGGAGCTATAGCAAGCCCACAATGGAGCCGTCCCTGGTTTCTGATAAGAAGCCATAGATTTGATTTAATTTTGGGGGGTACATATTCATATATTTGTCTTATGGCCGAGTGATATCTTTGGAAATCTATTGTTCCTACGTTATGTAAACATGAAAATGTGAATATGCACCCATCCCTCACCCAATCAATTCTATTACGGCTATTAATTAATTAAATAATTAATTAATTTAATTTTACTACGGCCATTTTTCCGCTATTCAAAACGTTCTCAGAGCCAGCCGCCATTTTGTATGAACCACCCACGTTTTCTTTATGTGAACAATTGTAATTAATATTTCATCTAAAATTTCGAGAAGCATTTTAGGCGTAGGTTAAGCTTAGCTTATACGTCGCATTTTGGTCGCATCGAATGCAATTCAAACAATAGATAATGAGATATTAAGCCTTATATTAAGCTTCATTATCATCTCATTATCATCTCATTATCTATTGCTTGAATTGTTCGAATTCGATCGGACCAAAATGCGACGTTTAACCTATATGTATAATAAGATTTAAACCTCATTAACTTCTAATTATTTATTGTTTAAATTGCATTCGACGCGACCAAAATGCAAGGTTTAACCTAGATAATAAGATTTAAACCTCATTAACATCTAATTATTCATTGTTTAAATTGCATTCGACGCGACCAAAATGCAAGGTTTAACCTAGATAATAAGATTTAAACCTCATTAATTTCTAATTATTTATTGTTTAAATTGCATTCAACGCGACCAAAATGCAAGGTTTAACCTAGATAATAAGATTTAAACCTCATTAACATCTAATTATTTATTGTTTAAATTGCACTCGACGCGACCAAAATGCGACGTATAAACTGGGCCAAACTCTTTGCTAATTCGTACTTGAAACTATGCAGACAAATGACGTTGAATGAAATATATACCTTCAACATTTTCTCTGGGAGGACCTTCTCCACATCCTTCGAGACATCAGCTGTGATGAAAGTAATGTCATCTCTCTTTTTCACCGTTTCGTGCAAGCATTCGGATGTAATGTCGAGAGAATAAACGTGGGATTTCACACCAAAACATTTTAATGTGTCGGCATACCATAAGGCACATCCTCCTGCATAGCTGCCAAATTCGATGACTGTCGCGGGTTTTTCACGACCAAGCAAGTCTTGCAAAGTAACCAAGTCGACGGCGCTTTTCATAACTTCTACTCCATTCCAAATCGTGTGATATTTGCCTTAACAACGGATTAATAGAATGTGGTAGTAGACATTTGGATTGTTTACACTAGGAATTCGAAAGCACAGATGACAACTATATTCGTAATATTCCAATCTGATAAACAAGCCATCTTCACCGGGCAACTGCCCCCCTTGCCTTTTACCAGCAGTGGCAAGCGGGGCAAAGGTACCCTTTTCTCTTAAATGATTACATTCTATATCTCAAAGTAAATGTATATGGTATATGTCCTCGTATTTGTCCATGCACATCCTCGTTCCTGGTTTTTTTTCGCGTACTGCGTGTGCTTTCGGCACACACAGTACGCGGAAAAACCTGGGGACGAGGATGGTCCACGCAAGAGAACGCCTGCTCGGTTGGAACAAGTGAACTCAAATAAGACTGGAACGCTCACTCCCTGACTTTCCCTGATCAATGAGTGAAGCCAAGATGGCGGATCATGAAGCCTTTCTTGTAGGTACGATCCAGGTCTCTGGCGCGGAAATTTCAAAGGTAAAATCATAATTGCCACCATTTTACCAAATTTCCGCGTGGGCGCCTGGATCATACCTACAAGAAAGACTTCAGTGTCCGCCATCTTGGCTTCAAACTTGAAGCGTTCCAGTCTTATTTGAGTTCACTGGTTGGAACACCCAGCAGTGGCCAAGAAGACATTCCTGGCAGCCTCGTACCCAGGCGCTATAAATATAGGCACAGTACAGGCTTTTACATAGATCAGTGGCTAAGGTGAGCGAACGTACAGGAAATTTTGGGGAGGACGCGGGGAAGGAAGCGCCTGGCAAGAAATGCATAAAACCAAAAAAACATGGTGGCCGACCATTTTAATTTGAGTGCACTGTTTATTATTCAAAAGTGCAAAAGAGGAACTTTTATTCTGTACGAATTTTTAAGACGGATACACAGAAATATATGCATGGGGAAAGTTTTACGCCAAAATGAGGAGTGTGCAGAGAGAAGAAAGATATTTTACTTGAAAATGGGATCAGTGTATCGCACTGTCATCAATTCCGAATATTAACTACAAATTTTGGTTACAATTATAGGCAAAAGTGTAATGTTTTGATCGCAAAACTAATTGTTTTGGCCCCTCCCAGAAAACGTTTGAATGTCAAAACAAATGTGTTTCCGTTGAAAAACTCATTAATTCAAACTTTTTAAAACCTTGTTTCGAGTGCGCAGTTGATGGTTCAAAAAGTTGTAGGAACTTCTAGTGTCATATAGCTCTCCGCCTAATAAAGCTAACTTATTTTCTAAAACACTCCAGGATTAATACTGTGCTGAACTGCTATTATCAATATCATCATAATAGGTTAAATTGCTGAATTCTTTAATTAAACTTTGCTTTGCTGGTTTATAATCACTGGCATTGATTGTATTCACAATACAACTAAGATTGATTATGTGTTGATTTGTCTGACCACCAGCTGTAGACATGATTATTGTCCCCAACAGCCCAAAGACAACCTAGCCAAATAACTGGGATTTGTATAATGATTTGTGTGACCACCTGCTATAGACATAGTCATTGTACCCAAGCGCAACCCAGCAAAATAACCGGGATTTAAAAATACATAATTATAAACAGGGTTTTTAAGATCAAAATAAGACATGCTTAAAAACTCAAATTTTTGAACAAAAAAACTCCGCAAAAATCAAAAATTTAACACTAAAGTGTATTTCATCAACATCCAAAGAGCAAAGATAATATTTTGATATAGCATTTAAACCCTTCACAGTTCACACAGAGTATAAAATGCAACCAAATTCTGTAAACAATTATTACCGTTAAACGAAAACTCCCTCAGCCATTGCTCCAGGTCATTTCTGAAGAATCATATTCGCATTTTCTGCCAGGCACTTCGTTTGGCAATCCGTTTTCCGTCGCGTCCTCTCCCTGCGCGCTCGCTCAGCGTAGCCACTGATCTATGTAAAAGCCTGTAGTGTGCTTACTAGAGGTTGAAAGAGTCTTAATTTCGAGTGGAATTATTACACACTTCAAATTCAAACCAGGAACAGTTGATGGATATATGAGTCAAGTCAGTCAACTATCGGTCCTCCGGCAGGAATCGAACATACGCTTTTGCAATGCACTGGCATTGCAAAAGCGTACATTCGACTCCTGCCGGAGGATCGATAGTTGACTCATTTTTTTAGGCCAGTTGACTTATTCTGGCTTGAATTTGAAGTGTGTATAATTCCACTCGAAATTAAGACCCTTTCAACCTCTAGAACTTACCTACATCGAGTGAAGTGCCAAAAATCATAATTGATAATTTTAAGAAATTTTTATCACTGCACATATCATCATAAATATAATAGTATAATGGAGAGGGGGACATGATTAAAATGGTCCTAACTGGAAATTGGTAATTTGAAGATGGGGAAGTTGTATGGGGTCTGCAGGACCTCTTGCTGAAAATTTTCTGTATATTTGAGTCCCTGTGACTTGATTTCCAGCATTTTGGGGGACAATTACTTATGAATCCACCTTGGCAGAGTGAGGTCAGTTGGGGAATCACCATTTATAACTGCACATTTCTCATTTTATCACTGCACATTTTTTATCACTGCACAAATTGGTTATCACTGCACACTAAAATTAGGTATGTTTATAGTTGTTTAAAGCGCCTGGGTATGAGGCTGCATTCCTGGCATTCTTTGAGCATATAAACATACCTAAATGCCCTAGGATGATTTAATAAATATATTTAGATAAAGCACCGTAGTCTGTAGCTCCTGTCTTATACTGTATACTTCAAAGTACCCCGCTATTAAAGAGATATTTTAAAAGTTCTTTCGTTCAAAGAAAATGGCCTTGATAATGAACTATAGACTATTTACACTTCTACACATGCATGGTCCCTTTATGATTCGAAATGAGCACAAGCTATCGTCAGCATGACTACATTTTACTGCTAGAATCACGACACGAGTTAACGGGATCATGTAAACAGCCACAAACATACGGGAATATTCCAGTATTTAACAAATATTATTATATATGGAGTAGCTTATTGCCATAAAATCATTTAGGGTTGAATAAAAATTAGAACCATATAGAATCATGTTTCCGTATATGCTCGATCACGTTTTGCATAAACTAATAACTCACCAGTGCACAGAAATTTTATCATTTCGATTGTCAGAACGCTTCGGGTTTCTCGCTCCTCAAACTTGGCAAAGCGATTTTCCTCAATATTCCGGACTTTGAATGCCTTGTTTAAAGACAACACATCCCCACCGTAATAACTTTTATCTTCACCTTTTATTGACATGATATTTTGCGAGTGTGTGCTTTTTAAATGTGTCCGCAAAGCCTGCAATATATGTATCACAACAGACCTTTTCAGCTTGTATTGCAAAACACAAGAACCATGTGCCCTGTCAATCGCCCTCAATTAGTCACTGTCTCGAATTACTCATGCACTAACTTTGTTATGTTGTGATAGCAAGCTTGTAAATAGTTTATTTTGGTTTGACAATGACTTTGAAATAATGTCGAAATATCACCTTAAATTTTTGTCTTGTTGTCTGTAGCTCATATCTTGAGTTTACAAGATGTCATTTTTCGGATTATTTCAAATCACATGGTCTGAAATATGAGAGAAGACATACTCCGAAAATAAACATCTTGTAAACTCAAGATATGAGCTGTTAAAAAACAATTGTCTGCTGGAAAAGGTTTATGGTCTGAAAAGGTCACGTTTTATTGGTAAAAAATACGGCTTCCTCCGGCTGTAACTCAGACGGATCGATAAATCGAAGACTTTTGTGGGGCTCAGGGCTGTGACTTCCAAAAGCGCCACTTTTTGTATACACTATTGGTCTGTATACACCGCCAGGTTGCCAGATTACTGAAAAAAGAAACCAAACATTGTTGTAGTCAGCCCTTTGATTTCTTTGTTTGAAACAATGAAAACAGCGATTATGGTTATATGGTAATATATTTGGCTAATTTATTCAGTAATCTGGCAACCCTGTAAAATAACACCACTGAGCTATACTATAATTAGCCTGTGCCCCAGTCCATATTTTTCCGTGTATGGACTGGAGCACAGGCAATTTAAGGGTTAGACGCTGTTGTAAGTGTTTTGTTCACAAATAAACGCACGCGCTGCATGATGGTCAGCAAGTGCATTTATTTGTAAACAAAACACGAACATAAAGTCTCTAACACTTTCAATATACAATCTGAGCAGGGCCGTAGCTAGACCGCTTAATTGGGGGGTGTATATTCATATATTCATGTTTATATACCATAGGAACAATAGCATACAAAAGAAATCATTCGGGCATATGACGAATATATGAATATGCACCCCCCCAATTAAGCTTCTAGCTACGGCCCTGAATCTGAGTTCATCGATTGCTGCATTGAAGATCAAAGCTTCGTTGCAGGCTGTCATTTTTGAATAAACCATGATTTTCTTGGGTTATTGCGAATAAACCTAGATTTCATGGGTTATTACTGCGTCGCGCACTGCGCGAACGCAGTCTTAAATTGCCGTCGGTGTTTTTTTGTTTTTTTTTTGTTTTTTACGTTTTCGACCCGGTCTACCTGGCCGCGCAGGCCAACTAAGATACTCGTATTTTGAACTCGTTTGATTTCGTATCGAAATATTTTTGTGCTAAACACACTTCAAATAGTAATCTAAGCCTAGTAACCCCCACAAAAGAAATATTTTACTGAAACAAAAAAATCGAAAAAGTTTGTTGTCGCCGGGATTCGAACTCGGGTCGTGCGAACTAAAAGCAGGAAACTGCATGCACGATACACGTCATATAAAATAACACGTACACGAGTCGCTGTGCATGGCCGATAGCGCAGGAAATCTAGACGTTTGTTGTTCCAGAAAATACGTACAGGTAATCATAATGCTGGATTCTTGACTTGTCTTGTTTAATATGCTCACCCTGCATACACCAGCACACACTGATCATGGTAAACCTACACTAAGACGGGTTTACAGACAACGATCACATGAATCAAGAAAGCCTTTTATGCCATGAAAGCCTTGTATGCTATGAAAGCCTTGTATGCCATTCTATGCCATTTTTCAATCAAACCGCACTTTCCTTTCAAGGGTAAAAACGGCCAGACCAATCCTATTGAATTTCAGTACAAACTGATTCCCAGAGTACATGATTCCAAACTCAGTCATATTCACGTATATCGTTAGCTACATATGCCTAGCACCAATAATGCAGTTTTACCCCTATATTCTGTACGAAGTGCTCTATTTACTAGAAAACCTAAGAAAGAAACATTTTTCTAAAGGAATAAATATTGACAGGAAATGGGGCACAGTTGCATGCAACGATTGGCGCGACGCAGTAACCGCCAGAATAGGCGTCTTGTTGCGAATAAACCACGATTTTCATGATTTGTCGCCAGGCAACAAGAAACAACCTGATTGATGATGACCAATCGCGTGAGTAGATTTAGGCCAATGCACGAAGATTGTGCATTAAACTATAATAGACTCTTTCGTTAATTACGTCACAACATTATCCTTATAAATTTAGAACCACCTTATTAACCCTATATTATCCAAAGTGCTTTATAGTGGCCTAAAAATTATTTATTCATGTTACCTCACTATTCTTGGACCAAATAACAAGATAATAAAAAAATTTTATTTTTACCCTTTTTTCTAGGAAATTCTATGATGTAGCATATTTGCTACATCGGCTAATAACATAACAGCTTATAAGAATAACTTTCAGTCCAGTAAATCTTAAAATACCCTGTTCTTTCAATACAAAGTCAGGTATTAACTATGGTTTAACTCAGTTGGTAGAGATATACTAGGTTCTCCTATTTACTATGATAGGCAAGGAAACAATTACGATTTTTGTTCAGGCATAAATGAACCTTGCACTTCACACATTTGACAAATGCAAATCCCTCTGGACAATTCCGACACCGCTGCCTTTTGTCCTCATAGCTGGGCATATGGCCAACACCATCAAACCGAACATCAGTTACAGGTGCTGGGTTCACCTCTTTCTTTTTCTTGCTCAAACAATCGAATGATCGACGCCCACATTGGGACTTTTTTACATTGCATAAGGCTGCAGCAACCATAGCTTGAAATTTCCTCAAGGGCATTACGCGAACATCTAAGGCTTTGCAATCTCTTCTGTACAGGAGCCATGCATTCACCAGAGCAATGGTTAGGGTGTGGTAAAAGATATAGAGATACCATCGCTTGCTTCGAAGTTGATACTTGTAAAGTGTGCACAACATGTCCATGAGATCAACTCCACCCATTGATTTGTTGTAAACCCCGATAAGAGATGGACGTTCAACATTGACATGCTCCTTTTTTGACCTATCATATCTTCGCACAGAATCAACTTCTTCAGCTCCAATATAGGACGATATCATAGTGACACACTTGTTATCAAACCAACGAACTAATGACAAATTTTTTGTTGTCTCAACAACGCTGTCATGTGCTCCTCTACCTTCCTTTTTCAATTCTTTCTCTGACTTCAGTGGAGCTCCATGAAGGCGATTGCTATTGATGGTGCCAACATAATGCAAACCTCGCTTTCCAATTCACTCACCATAGCGAAATTTGAAAAGAAGTTGTCAGCAAATACCTATAATGTAATTTATCTCAATTTATTACAATATGCTATAACAGTCGCCCCAAGCTAGGTTTATTTACTTTGAGTAAAATCAAGCAAACAGAAAATATCAGGGAGTTACAATTACAGGCACAACTAACCTTGAAGTTTCTGTCTGATGGAAGAGCTGAACATAATTTCAACACGACATTTCCACCCAATCCACAATCTGGAACATTATCATTATCATCCATTCCAGTGCCTTTGCCTTGATATATGTCAAATACATGTAAAAAACCAGTGGATGAGCATCGGGCCCAAAGTTTGAACCCCCATTTTTTGGGCTTCTTTGGAAGGTACTGCTTAAGAATAGATCTTCCTTTGAAGGCAACCATTATCTCATCAACACATTGGTTTTCTGAGGGACTTACTTCAGAAAAATTTGCATTCAAATCATCAAACCATCGCCTTATCTTCCAGGCTTTATCTTTTTTTTCTTCCTCTGTTACTTTTAAGTTGTCAACTATGTGCAAATATGAAGCAATCCTCTGGAATCGCTGTCTTGCCATTACATCAGCAATTGGGTGATAACGAGTATATGTCTCCCAAAAGCAACCGACTGCTGGCATTTTCACTAACCCCATATGGAAATATAGACCATGAATGTTTCTATTTCAGATGAGTTTGTTTGTAAAGTGATTCCTGCTTTCTGGTGGGCATAATTATTGGATTCCTCAGCCAAATATTCAAGCATGTTATTGGTCACAAAATACTTGAAGTAGTTGTAGGGGTGTCCTCCTTTGGCTCGGGTTCAAGGGCAGCATCAACAAAATCAAGATTTGAAGGTGGAATAAATCGTCTTCGCTTGTTAAAATTGTATACTTTTTTCTTCTTTGCAATAGAAGCAAGTGGCTCATCATCACTAAGTAGCTCCTCGTTAATGGCATCATCACATTCATATTCTTCATCAATACTGTTATAATTAGGCAGAGACTGTTCATAATTTATTTCATCTGACTCATCATCACTGGATAATTCATCTAACTCACTATCGGAACCAGTAACAGCCTCAATAATTTCTTCAATGGTATCATAATGATGTGGTTCCTAAGAACAGAAGCAATATTTCAGATATTTGTCAAAAATGTAGCAATATATTGTTACCAATTTACAACCTATAGTTTCTAATTCAAAGGGGTCATAGGTTTAAAACAAATTTAACTTTTATTTACAATTTTTTACAAAAAAAAAAGCCAGGAAAATGAGATTATTCAATATTTGTCATTCTCATTAATTTTACTCTGTGTTGACCAATGTAGCTTATGTGCTACATTGAGTTCTACTTATAAATTTCGAGTGTTAAAAGAGATGGTTTTTGAAAAAAATACCGCCCAAATGATCTTTAGAGTTCCTAATTTGAAAATATTAGCAAAGAATTAACAAATTATAACGATTGAATACTAAAATTAAATTTAGAATTACCTTGAATTCTGCCAATTCCTCCACTCCTTGAGCCGCCATTTTTAATTAATACAAAAACTTCACAACCAGGGTGTTATGAATATTAATGAGAAGTACATGTAGCAAATTATCTACAATGGTGTAAAAGTTGAAAAAATATTCCAAAATGAAGGCAAAATGAGCCTTGATTTTCCAGTGTAGCATATCTGCTACAAGGGATAATATAGGGTTAAATGAGATGGATTTCAAGTTTTCCCCTGACGAGCCACGTGCAAAGATGCAAAAACATCCTTCTTCAGCACATGCATGGAAATAATTTTTAATTTTGACCAATCAATGTGGAAATGCGGCGTAACGATAAAACGAGGCTACCAGGCCAGGACCGGCAGCAGTGGCGTAGCCAGCCTGACGATTTTGTCCCGCTATGTAAATTTCGAGTTATTATAATTATTCATGCCTTTAGAAATCTATTGTTTTCAGAGTCAGTGAACACTAAAATATTAGCGCATAGCGGGACAAATCGACAGGCTGGCTACGCTACTGACCGGCAGCCTCGTTCTTGTGTTATGGCTCACTTTCACACCTGTTTGTTAACATGAAAAATTATGTTGAAAAAAGGATGTTTGAAAGGATGTTTGAAAAAAGGATGTTTGAAAACGATACTGGTATGATGTAATTATCAAAAGGGTCTATTCATGGGTCTATTCCTAATCTCGTGCCCAGGGTCTTCTGTGTTGATGGCGAGGGATACAGAAGACCCTGGGCACAAGGTTTGTCTATTCCTGGCTGGAGGACCTGCTCCTAATGTGAAGCAAAAACTGTGACATATCGAAGAGGCGCTTTAAAAGAGCTTTTATTCTATAAACATTTATTTTTACAGAAATTGTAGTTGTCAAAATTCGGACTGATGCAAATTTCGACACATTTTTAAGACTGGGTGTGTGATTGTCAATATTTGCATGTGGCTGCCAAAATGCCGTTAATCTTCTGTTTTTAGGTTAGTCTTCTGTTTTAGATATACTGAGACGTTGAAAACATTGCGTTTGCTTTTAGGGACAATTCTATAGAGCCTGTATAATTCGAGGTAGCGCTCGCAAGGTCCTTAAATACATACATTCCACATAATCACAGAAAGGATAGTTTTGTCGTTGTAAACAGAACGTAGTAAGAACACGTCTAAAACTCCCACAGGTTTTTAATTATTCCGTTTCTTTTCAATCAGATCAATTAATGTATTGATAGCTGCCGTCGTCGTGTTCAACGCTTTGCAGTACCATCCTTCACTTTGCAAGAGGGAGTTGTCTGCTCAGAATATGAAAGGCAAATGAACTCAGGTGCACAATAGTTCTTATTTATGCCTTTAACTTTAAGCTTCAACACCTATCGGCGACACGAATTCGAATAATATTTCAATGCATGCTCTGATTATGTATATAAATTACTCAATATCACTGTATCAGAGTTCGAGTGCCTTTGAAAAGGCGTACCGCAGACTCTCCGTAGTGACGTAAAAAATACTAAGTGACGTAAAAAAATACCGCTTGCATGCGGCCTTGACCGATGATTAATAATTCGCACTACCTTGCACGGCGGGCAAAAAACACTGCATAAAACATGTCATTCGAATAATCAGCGCGCAATATTAGTGTGCGCTTCAACCGAGGCAGCCAGTAATTTCTGCCATGCATATGCCAAGGTCTTATTGAGAAGAAAGAGCTAGGGCGTAGTTGGTGAAATGAGTCTGCAAGACGGAAAACGATGTACGTGGCCGGAAGACGTTGGTATATTGGCGATTGAAGTGTATTTCCCGTCGACGTACGTAGACCAGGCAAAACTCGAGGAATACGATGGCGTCAGCAAAGGCAAGTACACCGTCGGCCTTGGGCAGGCCGGAATGGGATTCTGCGGCGATCGCGAAGACACGAATTCGCTCAGTTTAACCGTCGTGCAGAACCTGCTGGAGAAGAACTCCGTTGATGCGAATCAAATTGGCAGGCTCGAAGTGGGCACTGAATCCATATTGGATAAATCGAAGTCAGTGAAGACCGTGCTCATGCAATTGTTCGAACGATGTCGAAATTTCAATATCGAGGGAGTCGATACAATCAATGCGTGTTATGGGAGCACTCAAGCGCTCTTCAATGCCCTAGACTGGGTGGAAAGCAGTGCCTGGGACGGTAAGCCAGACTTTGAAGTATCATATATCATATCAAATTATGAAGTGACAAGTATAATTGTACCGATTCTCATATTTTTCCAAATGTAAGTGACGAAAAGAATGAATAATTCTGTAATGGACGAGATAACACGATTTAACTGCAGTACAAACCTAAACCATTTTGTTATGTCTTTCCGAAGGTCGTCTTGCGGTTATCGTCTGTGCCGATATTGCAGTATATGCCGCAGGCAACGCTCGGCCGTCCGGTGGAGCGGGGGCTGTTGCGATGCTGGTCGGACCAAACGCACCATTGGTTGTTGAGAGAGGTGAGGCATTTTTTAGACCTCGGTCCTTTTCGCACGACAATTCTGATTTTAGATATATGTCCACAAGTCTCAGTTTATAGAAGTGCGTTCAGTTTGCCGGAAGGCTATTTATTTCTTTGACTGTCTCAAATCTCAGTTTGATTCTAGGATTGCGTTCCGTCTTTATGTCTCATGCGTATGATTTCTACAAGCCAAATTTAAGTTCTCAATACCCAGTTGTGGATGGCAAACTGTCCATCAACTGCTACCTGAGGGCTGTCGAGAAGTGTTACCGTGGTTATCTGACGAAAGCAGGACATGCGCAGTCTAAACGCATAAACGGATGTGATGGCGAACCGTTGACAACGGATGGAGCATACCCAAGATCAATGGACGATATCGACTACATGGTATTTCATAGTCCCGTTTGTAAATTAACCCAGAAGTCATTGGCGCGCTTGATTTTCCTCGATTTCTTGAGAGAACAGGCTGGTGCGAGTCAGTTAGATAAAAAGTACGAGGGTCTCAAGGAATTTAGGTAAGGCAGAGTATGGAAACCTATGCCTTAGTCCCTTTTTGAAAAGTACAATCATAGCCTAAACAAGTTGTAAAACGGTTGTATCTGTTTCGACCCTTCTCCCCATTCAGTGTCGGGCTTTAATTGGAGACTGCAGCAATGACTGGTAAACTGTAAAAAATGGTTTTATTGTCATGTTACGTAATTTGCGGTTAGGGACGGTTGGGGACTGGGTTTGATGAGAAAATATTTCGTCTCCGTAACATGACGACAGTACCAAAAAATTGCACTACTTACACGTGAATAGCCATCTTCGATATTACAATATTATATATATATACATTCTCGATTTTTCCCTTAAACCTGGTTTCTATTTAGTCGTAATTGTCGTGAACACGTCATTTTGTTCTTATTCGGACATTGTTATTCAAACAACTTAAAAATATGATTACGGATATCTGATTTTCCTTAGTGACGTTACTCTTGATGAGTTATACGAAGACGGAGCAAGATCGAAGTTGATAGAAAAAGCTTCGATGAGTTTCAGTCTCAGGGAGTTCGAAAAGAAGACGAAACCTAGTTTGCTTTTCGCCACCAATGTTGGTAATGCTTACACGGCCTCCGTGTACGCTGGACTAGCCTCTCTTTTAGCAAGGTAATGACTGGCAGCTCGTCTTGGGCGGAAATGCCGTGATCTGGGTTTAAAATAGGATCGGAATGTTTAGCCTGGTGCATGCACACTGGTGAACTTACGTACGACGTGTACAATTGTCATGCACCTATATGCACATTCCTAGTCTTCGGGGGAAAATTTGAGATATTCTGTAATTCGGGTCGTAAAAATGGGAACGAATAACAAAATATCTCAATTTGGTCCTCACCGACTAGAAATATGCGAGGGTGACAATTGTCACAAGTGAAATTTGCACATGTATGCTAAGTTTACCAGTGCGCGATAGGCTTAATGGGGCATTGAGTGAAATTAAAGGCGATTCTCCATTACCTCCGCTCCGCCCGCGCGGGCGAAGCGCGCTTTGTTTTTCAGACCCGTCACGGTCGCATGGACAGATTTTCAAAAGCCGCTTCGCCCGCGCGGGTGAAGCGGACGTTAATGGAGAATCGGCTTAATAAAAGGATGTATTGGAGTTTTAAGTCATTCAAACGGCCACAATGGTCTAACTTGTCATATTTGGAATTGAAATTGAGCATTTTGCTAAAAATAAAGCGGTAAAACTGCATTTCCCGCGCTAGGCAGATGTATATAAATAAAGAGATGCTTGAATGCAGAGTTCTCGAAACGCTCTAAAATACCAGAATGTTTCTGTTTGTGCAGAAATTCAACAGGACCGCGGTTTCGCCGATTTTGTCGTAAAAAGGAAATTGCACGTCGTCTACGTTCTATTTACAACTGCAAATCTCCGATTTTCATGGTTTGTGTAGAACGTCTGCATTTCAGGACGCAGCCAGCGTTACCTCGAAATACGCTCTGCAGAACTATTCCGAAACATAAAGACAATGTTTTTAAAATCTTATAATTCTGCCTTCAAAGAGTGATTCAGGGAATCTCCTAATCGCTCCTGCTTCTTCTTTTAGTATTTCCTCGGACGAACTGCTCGGTAGACGTATCGGCATGTTTTGTTACGGCTCCGGGTACGCTTCTGCCTTTTACTCCATCAGAGTTTCCGCCTCAGATTCAAACATCACGATCCTGTCCCGAATGATCGCGAACGTGTCCGATATGAAATCGAAGCTCGACGCCAGAAAATGCGTCGAACCTGCAGAGTTCGAGAAAACCTTGGAGATGAAGGAAAAGACGCAAAACCTGAAGGAATTTTATCCCTCCGGTTCAGTGGAAAACTTTTGGAATGGAACGTATTTCTTGCAGCACGTCGATGAGAAATATCGCAGGTCATATGGACGAAAAATGAAAAATAGTATTGTCTATATTTAATGGAAATTAATATATGGATTCTTACAGAAATAAAATGCAACATCATGAAACCGTTCCATAATTTCACTCCTGGGGCCGTTTGTCCGAAAGGCGTGATTGCTTTGTCTATTTAGCCATTTGGCAACATTGAAATTTGTTGATATAGCTTAGGGAACTAGAACGTCCACGATAAAGTCCAGTTATGTAATGTCTGACCTGGGAACAGCTTGACCATCCTTGTCTTTCGAACGATGTTCGAACATTCTCCTCATAACATGATTCATAATTCTCGGGATGATGACTGGGTCTGCAGCAATGGGCATGGGTGATGTTTCCTAATTTTATGCCATCGTTGCGATATAATCCGCTTAAGAAGTAACCCATGGGGCATAGGCTCCAACTGTAACTTCTGAAGTACATGAAAATAGAAAACAGATCAATCAGAGAAAGAGTCAATTTAAGGGGCCCTTCCATGGTCACTATTTTATCCCTTCACCGTGTAATCCGTTTGTTGTTGGTAGATTCATGCAATTTTCGATGCATATAAGCTTTTGAGTGTAATAAATAATGAAATTCCACACGCACCCATGCATTTATCCGATGCGGGAGGGGAACAAGTTGACAGTTAACAAATGGGGACAACAGCTTGAATGGTTGTTTAATAAAACTGAATGGCTTTTTTAAAGACGTCTTTTTGCCTAAGCAGACAGAAACCATACTTGGAGAGATTCAGTTTTGGTGCCAATCTTTGTGCTATAGCCGATCAGGTTAGGGGCATTTCACATGAGCCCTGTTACCGAGATTTAATGGAAATGGACTTTGAGGTATTGAAATGAGTAAATAACATGATCTTGGTGATTGTGTAATGATCCTAACAATACCATGTGTCTGATTGTTTTGTTTCCAAAAGACTTAATTTCAATCAATCAATCAATCAATCAAATCGTTTAATCAATCAATCAATCAATCAATCAATCAAATCGTTTAATAAATATACATCTCGCAGTCATTAAGACTGAATTACATGTATAATACATCAATATGAATGGTAAAAATATGTATATTTTAAAAGTTATTAATATATTTACAACTACAAGCATTAAAAATTAGAGTTCATAACCTAAACAAGCTATATGACATCACATGCTACAAGATTACATTTACATTTAAGAAGTGTGCCTATTTGAATAATTTGGCATAAAAGAGTTTTTAAAACGATTTGTGTAACATTTGATCGTTTGAAATGTTCTCTTTGTCCTTAACTGATTATTAATACCGTTGGTTCTTTCCGGTAATAAATTGGTGAGTTTATGGTCCTTGTTATCCACGATTTCATCAAAAAACTTCGTACATAGAGATTGCCTTCTTTCAAATAAAGTTGGAATATTGGCTTTTCCTAATGCATCAACATATTTGACTCCAGGAAAAATTATACCCATTGCTCTTTTTTGGACACGTTCCAATTCATCCGATAGGTATTTTGGTAAACTAGAATGAAACACTTGGCAGGAGTACTCTAGAATTGATCTTATTATAGCACAATAGTAGCAAACAAGGTCTTTTGAGGCTATGTCAGCCCGTTTTAATTGCTTGATGAAATACAAACGCTTTGCTGCCTTTTTAGTAATGTCATTGATATGATCGTTCCATTTCAAATCATTTCTCATCGTAAGACCCAAAATTTTTTTTCTGAACACTTTCGAAGGGTTGATTATCTACCTCTACTGCTTTAAACGTTGGAAAGGTCTTACTAAAACACATAGTAAATTTCTTTGCATTTCTTTGGATTTAAAATCAGCTTATTTTCCATCGACCATTTAGCAATATGATTAATTTCCTGTTGTAGATGACTTTCTTGGTCTTGTAGAATTAGTTCGGAAATAGTGGTATCGTCTGCAAACTTCCACATCAGTGAGTCCGTTTTTCCAGACAATTCTAAGTCGTTGATCATGGCTACGAAGAGCCATGGGCCTAGACATGTTCCTTGGGGCACTCCAGCCGGTACACTTTTCCAACCAGAGAAGCATTGATTATTAAGTTTTATTCTCTGTTGTCGGTCTCTGAGAAAGTCAATAAGCCAGTTGATGGTTGAGGATTTGACACCAAGGCTTAAAAGCTTGGCTATCAAAAGATTATGGTCTATCATATCAAATGCCTTTTTGAAATCCAGGAAGGCAGCACGAACAACAACAGCTTTTCCATCTGTCATTTGTAACCAGTGATGAATCACTGATGGAAAAGCTGTTCAATACCTCAAAGTTCATTTTACGCTTTGTTAAATCTCGGTAGCCGCGGGCTCATGTGAACATCCCCTTAAATAAGTCTTTTCGGAAACAAAACAATCGCATGCTATATAGTGTTAAGGCTATTCTCCATTTCCGTCCGCTTCACACGCGCGGCCGAAGCGGCTTTTGAAAATCTGCGCATGCGACCGTGACCGGCCTCAAAAACAGAATCGCCTTTAGGATGATTACAACATTTACCTACCAGGATAATGTTATTTACTCATTTCAAAACCTCAAAGCGTTCGTTGAATCTCAGTAATTGGGCTCATGTGAACAGCTTCTTATAGTCACGCTATGCAAATTTCAAGGTTGTTCAAAGCTAGGTTATATATCGCTAACCCTGGGTTAAATTTAAATCCGCTGTTTTGCACCGGCCGCCGCTTGTTTCAAAACTTTATAAGATATTACTTCTATTATACAGAAAATACTAATGAAAAATTTCAACTTTTATAAACAAGGAATGAAAAATATTGATGTACAGATTTCATTGCGTTAACCGTTGGTTAAACACTGTTAGTCTTTTGAACAACTGACTCCAGGTAATTGTTCATTTCTTTAGAAATCAGTCATTGTTTTTACAGTCAATTGAAACCAAAATGTTAGCATAGCGGGACTATACTGTCAGGCGGCTACACTACTGGTTACGGGATTTAGAGCGGTGTCATCTTCAGGGATTATTCTAAGAAATATTTATCACTGCACAACATATGCGTATTTTCATGTAGTCATGGTGACCGGTATACGTGACATTCACGAGACATTAATCGAGCTTTCTACAAGTGAAACTGTAGAAAAATCTTTTTCCTCTTAGCTTTTTGGTCGAATAATAAACAATTGTTGGATGAGGGTTTTTGAAATATTCGGAGTTATATAAAGGTCGAGGTAAGTGTTATCAGCCGAGCCGAGCCGGAGGCAAGGCTGATAACGCTCACCGAGACCTGGTAATTCTGCATATCACAAAAACTTCAAAAATGTGTTCATTCAAGCTCCGGCTAATGGGATTAGTTCCACTTCACTGTTTGCATTTCAAAAGAAAGCGATCGCAAAAAGTCGTTTGCGCGACATTTTGCACTGAATGGAAATCCGCCTTAAGGTCGATACCGAATTTTAAAAATAAAAACTGATGACCAAAATGGCATTCATTATGTCCCAAAAGAAGTTTTGCATCAGTAAAGGCCATGTTACACAGTGCAATTTTTCTTGCAACTTGCAATGTAATTCTACTTTTAAGAGATAAAAATTAGTGAAGAGTCTTCAAAATGTAATTGTAAGAAACACCATGAATTGCAATAAAGAAAAAAGGTCGGTAGTTGCCAAATTTACATCTCTCAAAAGAAGAATTGCTTTGCAAGTTGCAAGACAAATTGCATCGTGTATCAGGGCCATAACTCTCGATTATAATTCACACCCAATACGTACGTGTCCATAGAAGTTCGCCAGTCAGCTGTTTTACAGACGCCACTTTGACCGCTAAACGCTTGTGTGGAACCGCAACATCTTGCCTTTTGAAGTTTACCGATACCAATTCGACTGCTGGCATTAGTAATTCGGTAGAGTGCTGTGATGAAAAGATTTTGTTCATGACATTTTGACCAACCCTTCCCGCCGAAACTATTTCGCCAGTCTTCGTCCAAGCACATAGTTGTCATTATTGAAGGTTTCGCTATGAATGTGATGATATAATATGTAAGGATGTTTCGATTGTCGAGAGATTCCAAAACCATGGAAATTAACTGGGGAGAGTTTTAATTTGTTTCTCAGTTTTTTTTTTATAAAAAAACAGTCTGTTTCATGCATGGGCAGAAACTGTAATATATTTTTGTCCTAATATTTTATTTATAGCAATATTAGTTAGCAGTATTACATATGGATACAATATCCTTGTGTTGACTTGATTGGGAAAGTTCAATTATTGTCATAGCTAGTAATAGGCTGCTCGGAATGATGTCATTTTCCTCAATTTTAATTTATCATTTTAATTTGTTACCCATTGATTTTGTCATTTATTATTAACATAAAAAATTACTACGTGTTCTTATTTCATTGATTGTACTGAAATACAATTATAATTATTTGCCGAAATAGACAAGATGCCGGAAAGTTATCGAACTAATTAAGGAGCCCAGTTTGAATAAGCTTATAGATAAGCTTATAATATAGATTCACATGCATAAGCTAAACCTAAAAACTAAAATTGGCCAGAAAGGATAAACAAAGATACTGGATAAAGTAGAAAATATTGGATACAGCAGGACTGCGTTTTAACAGAACTGAAAACTATCAAGCTTGCATTGAAAATGTCTCAAAAGATCGCGAATGAGCGCAAGTCAAGAATTTTACGATTTAATCAATCCATGCTAACAACATAATATAATAAGCAAATAATCGTGCGATGTTACTCGTACAATTAGGATGCAATGCATAGCCTTAAGCAATGGAACTACGAAGTAAAATACTCGATAATCGGAATCCAATATTTGAGCAATGTTGAAAAACAGCTGCGTGTATGCGTGTAGCTACCACATGCACGGAGGTTAAAATATAGCTTTATTTTTCCCATGCAATAGTCGAAATTCAATAATCGAAACAGATGGTATATATAGCAAGCGTATTTATTGCGCATACCAAATCATAACAGACCCAGCTACATAACGAGTAACCGAGAAAACTGAGTTACTGTGAAAAGAGTTTACTACCTTACTACATAAATAAATTTTCAAAGCCGGATACTAAAAGTTGTATAGTGTATCAAATAATTTTGAAAATGTTCATATAATCTCATAATGTTCATATTAAAAATTCATATAGCTTGAAATTTTCTTGGCCAGAGGAAGGACTTTTTGGGGCAAGATCTGTATGAGAACGACAAGCCGGCCGCAAGGTTAGTCGCATGTTTAATATTGGTTCGGAGCAGGTTGCACCAATATCGAATATTATAGATGTCGGCTACTTTTGTGATGTTTTGAACTCAATCCAATTTACAGCCCAAGTAAATTATTTCTAATGCTCCGTTCACATGCACTACCATCAATTCAATGTTTTGGTTGCCTGAGCACTGATAAAATTGTGCAAGGGTACCCATTTTAGCCGTGCCGTGTCGATAAATCGAGTGTAGACAGTAAGTGTAAACGTTGCTTGCACTACACTCAATTTATTGTCACGGCACAGCTAAAATGGGCCCATGTGCCAATTTCATTTGAGTTCGGCCTTTGTTTTGGTAGCCTGAACAATAATAAAATTGGGCACGGGTACCAATCTTAGCCGTGCCGTGCAAATAAATTGAGTGTAGTGTAAACGGGGCTTAAACAGGGCTATACACATTGAAACGAAAAGCAGTACAAGTTGAGACTGTTGAGTGTATACATTGCTCGAAGAATTATATGTATAAAGTAGTGATTTTTAATAATCATCATTAATTTTCAAGAAGAAAAAATTATAACGAAATTTAAACTCACGGACTCTAAAAACGACGTAAAGATGGTTGAATTCATGGCTCATTACTTCGTCGTCGCTAGATGATCTCAAAGGTGTCTTCCGGTTCAGCTCACAGCGACCTTTACCGATTTCAGAAGTTTTGTAATTTACCGACGTACAGGATTCACGCGCGGCGCAATGCATACCACATTCCAGCTCGCTGAAAGTCTCCACCGTTTCAATGACGTGATTCACCAAGTACTTTTGTTCGTTTCTACGAAAGATGGCGTGGTTTGAGCATGTTACATGCCGTTTAAGTTGTAAAACGAAAAATAAGCCATATATAAATATTATGGCCATGTTTCGGCAATGTACCTTATTCATCTTTAAGCTGTTCGACTATTGGAAACTAAAACGTTGTCTAAACACAAACGCCACCTGCCCATGCACAGAAGTGTATTTCGACGTTTGTCACTGAAAAACAAACATGTCAGGAGTGAGACTTTGTTTTCACTAATAATTCAGTCGCATCTCTCAACATCTTTACCAAAACTGAAGATGATTTTAATACAGGCGATTTTTAACCGGACGTAAGAAATATTTTTCCAGGCTTTGCAGGAAAAATGGAAAAAGGCATACATTAATTATTGACTGTGAAAAAATGGATTTCTATCGGAAATGAATAACTACATAATAGTGAAAATTTGCATACAAAATTTGCATTCCCCCTAACAGGTCTTGTATAGGATTTTATTTAATAACGTTAAGAATTGAAGCAATTTCATTGGTCGAGAGCAATGATCTATAAGAGGACAGACGCACGGAATGACGTCACAGATAATTTTAACAATTTAGATTAGTCATTAGTCATCTCTTGTTTCATCTTGGGCACGAATCTTAAGCTAGCCAATAGCATTTCTTCAATCCAATAGATCATGAACGTGATATCTGTAAAATTTTTACTTAGGCAACTCGCCCCGGCGAGGCCACTTTGTTTTGTACTTAACACAAATGACGTCATGCCGTGTGTCTATAACTGAACAGACAACAGTTCAATATTCAATTTTATCTATTTGTTAAATATAAACCTGTATATTATCTCACCATTTTAAAATTATTCAAATTAAAAACTAAGTTGAAGTGGTTATCTTGCACTTACAAATTTGAAACTGTATGTTTAACAAGTAGATAACATTGAACCGTTGCCTCTTCAGTTATGGATACACGGTATGACGTCATTTGGTAAAAATAGGTAGAAATAACACGTTTGCTTTTGACGAAAGTTCAGACATAAAAAACCGAGAAGCATTGTTTACTTCGCGCTTTCGTTCCACGTGACCTAGTTGGCTAAACGTTTGAAAAAAAACAGCTATTAAGATAAGATTAAGCTAATTGCCTTTTTTAACAATTGCTGTCAGATGTGATTGTAAGTAAAACCTTGTGTGTATGTGGTATGTGGAATGTGACATGTGGGATTTATCTAAAGTAACTTTATGTAAAATGTTCTCACACGTGAAATTTCGTTTTCAATTTCATACGAAATCCTTTCACATGTGAGATGTCACATGTGACATTAGGTGCAATGCTTTCACATGTGATGAGATCTCACTACATGTGACTTTATGTGAAATCCTTTCACATGTGAAATGTCACATGTGACTTTATGCGAATTTTAAATTTCACATAATATCACATGATTTCACATATTTTCACATATATGATATGATTTAATGTGGAACTTTTCTAAGGCTAGCTTCCATGACCGATCACAATATCAAGGTAAACCGTATCGTGGTAAGTGTTTCAAATACTTCTTCTGACTCAATCACATGTACTCAATCTGTATTAATGTGGTGCAATATTTTCATTGTAGCATCCCAGATGTGTATACATATATAGGTAATCAATCAATAGGGAGTACATCCAATAGACCTTTCTCATAATAAAGTCAAACGCGGAAAGCCTGATGACAATTCGTGTAACAGGTTTTCCGCGTTAAACGTCATTATGAGAAAGGTGCCAGGGTCGAAGGCTAGCTCAAAATTATGTGCTTATTATTAACATGTTACTGTGGTACAGTTAATGAAATCACAGTTAATAGAATATACAGGGTTTCTCAAAAAAAAAGTAATTGTTAGAGTTTGAATGCCTAAGCACTCTGTTGGGAAAATATCGTAATAAAACACTAGTTGTTCGGGGGTCAACTGTACCATTTTCTTTCGAAACAATAACAAGCGGCTGATTTAAATTTTTAAAATCATATTCACAATCTCAAATTTTGCGTATTTAGCATTTTATAAGTTGCATTAAATCCCCACGGGCTAAAATTCGTGAACACGGCATACGAATTTTAACAATGAGTGATTTCAATAGTTTTCGGTTTTTTTAAGACACCCTGTACATGGTTTGCAGACTAAATAGAAATACAATACAACTCATTAACTATGTTATTGTCCAGGTTTATGCAAAAGGTGGTTCCTTTCTCGTCAGTCGTCACGAGTCTATTATATTTTAGCCAAACTTGCTAAGTTCCTCAACCTTAGCTTGACTTGGAAAATATGTTAATTAACAGATTGCTATTGGTTTATCTCTGCACAATACAATAGACATGTGATGAGAAAAGAACGTTTTTGGCATAAATCTATCTCAACATAGTTAATGAGTTGTATTGTAGATTTATGTGGTCTCCAAACTATGTATATTCTATTAACTGTGACGAAATATAGCTGTTTCTTGAGCGCGAGCATGATTCAGTTCAGAAATCGCACAGATTCCGTGACATTCGTAGAGAATGAATCATTGAACAATGTCTTAAAATTCTGTTTACTGGACATATACATATAATTATGCGATAAGCCTCCTCCGCAGGCATCTCTTATGTATTAAGTAATTCTTTAGCTCACAACCAAATTCTGTCTCTAGGCACTTCACAGTCAATAGGAAATCTAATGTTAAAACTTTTAAAATAGGCTAAGTCATTAAAAACGTCTTAACCTTAATACGATATGAAATAACCTCAAATAGTAAACAACAGTGGCGTAGCCAGCCTGACGATTTTGTCCCGCTATGTAAATTTTGAGTTATTATAATTATTCATGTCTTTAGAAATCTATTGTTTTCACAGTCAGTGAACACTAAAATATTAGCATAGCGGGACAAATCGACAGGCTGGCTACGCTACTGGTAAACAATGTTATGTTAAGACCAAAAACATCATACATTATTTGAAAAAAAGTTAAAAAGAATAATTTTGAATTGAATGCGATATTGGACTGGTAGACAACGCAATTCTATGAGGACTGGTGTAATACGATCCGATTTCCTAGTGCCAGTTAATAGACGAGCTGTGGTATTTTGGACTCTCTGGAACTTCTGGAGTAAGTTTTTTGGTACGCCATATAACAGTGAATCAGGTAATAAGACGAGCAGTGGCCTTATGTGGATGCATAAGCAACTACTTAGTATGGAGGCATATTTAAGGAGTCACGTCTTTTTCTTGAATCACCATGGCAACTAAATAGGAAAATGATTGTATCAAATCCTTGATTGCCGAAAGACCTCATGAACGTAACTGATCTCACTAACCTACAGCATGCATTCCAGCCACGGTGATGTAACTCGTTCGTCTTCAAAGTGAAACGCTGGAACACGATGAATAACCTAAATATTTCGAAAAGAAAAATAGCAATTATTTTCTACAATTACTTTCTATGTAAGAATACTGAATTTTAACGTCCCGGATCTGAATTAATATTAAATGTAGCAAATCTATATAAAATAAGTACGCATTAGCTACTAATCGTTGCTCCACAACGGCAAACGAAGGTGTCGTGACAATTAATCGCAGCATCACAGATATGTATAATTATATAAGTAAATGGTAATCTTTCAATGGGGAGCAGAATAGACCTTTTTGATACTGAAGTCAAAAAATGCAATACAGCTCATTAACTATGTTATTGTCCAGATTTATGCAAAAAATGGTTCCTTTCTTGTCACGTGTCTCGTCAAGTGTACGAAATCTATATAAAATAAGTGCACATTTCAGTGCTATACTAATCGTTGCTTCACAAGGCACAAGAAGGTGACGTGTCAAGCGTACCGTGTACTTAGACTTGCTCCAAGTCTACCTCTTGAAGATATAATAGCATGATAGTATAATGGCCATTTTCCTCACCCAATTTTAGGGCGGCTCCATCATTCTCACTATTATACTAATTTTACTATTGTACTAATTTTATACCATCAAGAGGCAGGCATTAAGCCAGTCTAACCGTGTACCGTGTAGACGAAGCCTTCACTTTTAAGCATCCTAGACGTGTTCATGTAGGTAATCTTTCAATGGAGAGCAGAATAGTTTCATAATGGAGTCAAACGCGACAAGCCTGATGATGATTCGTCAGTGTCAACAGGTTTTCGGCGTTTAATTAATTGACGTTCATTGTGAAAAAGTTGCCAAGGTCGAAAGCTACAATCCTGGTCAAAACATTGGTGGCAATTGCGAAAATTCGTCCACTTTTACGGTTTTTCCAATTAAAAAATTCTCCCCCTTCCCCCAGCACTCAATATTGGATAGTTACCTAAAACATATTATACAATTGAGCAAAAAAACTCAAGGAGCGGGGGGAGGAAATTAAATCGATCAAGTGTGAATATATTATTTCGAGTGTACAGTCAATAGTTTTGGTCATTATTTTCGCTCATTGTTATTTAGGTAATCAGGTAATAAGACGAGCAGTGGCTTTATGTGGATGTATATACAACTACTTAGTATGGAAGCATATTTAATTAAGGAGTCACGTCTTTTGCTTGAATCACCATGGCAACGACACAGAAAAATGTTTGCATAAAATCCTTGATTACAGCCCGATGAAAGACAACTGCTGGAACACGATCGATGAATAACCTAACTATTAAGAAAAGAAAAATAACATTCTTCAATTACTTTCTATAAAAATGCTATCATGTTTTGTAGCTAAAAAAAGGCAGAGAAATATTGGGGAAATTATTAGGAAATTATTGGGAAAAAGTGGACGAATTTCCGCAAATGTCGCCATGTTTTGACCTGGATTGTAGCTTTCGACTTTGGGGCTTTTTGCAGAATGACGTTAATTAAACGCAGAAAACCTGTTGACACGAATTGTCACCAGTTTTCTCGCGTTTGACTTAATTATTAAACTATTCTGCCCCCCATTGAAAGATTACCTACATGCATATACACATGCATGTCTGCGATGCTACATTGAAGGCTTTGTCTACAAGGACACGGTACGCCGTACGCTTGTTACGCCACTTTCGTTTGCCGTTGTGAAGCAACGATTTGTTACCTGAAACATATTAAACAATAGACCTTTTCGGTAATTACGTCACAACATTTTCACATCACAACGTCTTGAATTTAGAACCACCTTAAATGAAATGGATTTCAAGTTTTACTCTCACGAGCAACGTGCGAAGATGCAAAACATCCCTCCGCACATGCATGAAAAATATTTTTAGTTTTGACCAATAAATGTGGAAATAAGCCATCACACGAGAACGAGGCTGAGAGGTCAAGACCGCGAGTCGTTAAAATGAAAAAATATCTTTCATGCACGGGTTATAAGGATGTTTTGCATCTTTGTACGCAACTTGTGAGAGTAAAATTTGAAATCCATCTCATCTAAGGTGCACGTGGTTCTAAATTTTTAAAAAACGATAATGTTGTGACGTAATTATCGAAAGGTTTTTTGAGCGAAAAAAAACTCAACATAATTGATTTGGGGCAGGGGGAGGAAATAATATGATTTACAACGTAAAGCTTTAAACAACTAAATAGATTGAAGTGTGCCGAATATATTCATCATTATTTGTTTAGATTATTAACATGGTACGGTGGTACAACTCTAAAATGAAATTGCTGTTTCTTCAGGGAGCATTTAGCTACTCTATTCGTTCACAAATCGCACAGATTCGGATATTCGTATGGAATGAATCATTCAATAAAGTATATTTATATTGACATAAATGTACATTAGATTAGATGTGGATGCAGATTTTGAAACAGGTAATGAGCGTTAATTCGTTGAGGCTGTACATGAACTTAGCAAGAAATGATTGTATACGACTGGCCATTCACGATTGATACTCTGTCAATGACGTAAATAGAGGTCAATGTATGCTTTTGCATAAAGATTAAAGTAGTTCTGTATTAAAAACGTCGTTGTGTAGTTCAAGTTCTAACTTTTACCTTGAAATTGTTTTGAAACTGACTGGTTTATATGATTAAGCGAGTAATTAGTTCAGTAGCAATTTAGTAGACGTTCAAAGGCAAAGTTTAAAAGTATGTCATCAAGGTATACATATCATCAAGGTATCCGATCTCACTAAACTATTGCGTGCATTCCCGGTATCTGCTGTGATGTAACTCGTCTTCGAAGTGAAGCGCCCCAAAGACGCTGGATTCATTACATATCAAACGAAGTGGCTTATATACCCTGGACCAGTGCAACAGTGCATGTGAAAAACAAAACAAAACTATAGGGACAGTTAAATAATAATTCGTCTAATCTATCTTCGGAGTTACGAGTAGATAAGATTTATAAATACTCAACAAAATATGTCTAGCAGAAAAGATTTGAAGCTTGTACAAAAACGAATCGTCTGAATTAATAACCTTTGTATAATATACTTTATTTAAGCCGCAAAAAGAAACGCACAGATTCTTTGTTTTCTTCTAGTCTACATGCAGCTGTTCCGTATCACTAATCCTCAATATAGTCGATAATTGATGAATAAGCATGCACATGCATGTACGACTAACAGGCAAGGGCAAAATCAAGATCAAGATCAAAGATTAAATTACATGCACTTTTTTATATCCTGAACCATCTCGGGCGGTTTCGAGCATTACAACCGAAGACTTGAACGAGTGCGCATAAAAAAATTTTGCTGAGATGAGCTTTACTAACAAGGCCACGAAACGTAAGTTTTATTATGTATCTCTATATATATACGAAACAATATTCTTCAAGAAGAACGGTGAAAAGATAAATTATTAATAAGGCGGTGCTTGCATGGGAAAATTAAACTAGCTAGCTTGCTCTAAACTCATTTTCTTATTAAACTTGGGTTTAACATTACTACATGTGACGAGAAAATAGCACACTCTAGTGACTCGACCACATGCGGTATAATTAGAATTTAAAAAATGATATAGAGAGAGAACACCGATTATGGCTTGTAAGAGTAGAAAGTAAAAAATATACTTCCTTCGCGCGAATCAGAAGCTTACGTGTTGCAAAGAAAATAATGTAAATTATGTTTATTTATTTGCACTTTTTTAATCGATTGATCGTTTAGTATCAGTCTATCAATTGAATCTCGAATAAGCTACTTTTTAGAAATGCTTCATGTTACTGAACTAAGTTTGAAAATATTTTGGGTCACTCCTCCCTTGGCCATTTGTGGACGAACCCGTGCAAAAAATGCTTCTTTATACTCATAATTTCTAAGATAGCTCGTCCTTAAAAATGACCAATCCGCGTTTATGCACTCACGTCCACAGGGATTATCAGACGAACTATTCTCACACTGTCTGTTGTTTTGTCCCTTTTCATTCTCTAAACTTAATTGCCGAATTATAGGCACCACGCAGGAGCGACGTCTCTGATATATGATCTAGTTTTGTTTCGTTTTTTAGACTGTTGCACTGGTCCAGGGTATGCCACGCCACTGGACGCAATGAAGAATGGTCCGCGGGAGAAAATTTTTTATCTACCATGTATTTATCAAAGTACTGGTATTAAAAAACCTGATTATTTAGCTACAGTTGACGTGGACCCACAGTCACCAGATTACTGCAAGGTAGAGAACAATACTTGCATGATTGCATGAAAAGCGTAAAGATTCCAGTAGAAGGCCTCAGTGATTTGACTCAACATTCCAACTTATCGCAAAGTTATTCGCGCTGTATATCGTTTTTTATAGTTTTGTTTGTTCAAACGTGTTCCGATGCCGGAGCGAGTAGCAAATTCATATGAATTTACCAATGTTGAAATATGTCGGCGAAATATTAAACGACTTATTAAAAAGTCCTTCTCGTAATGACGGAAAGTCTGGTTTTAATTGTTTAATTAATTTTATAATTGTTTTGCTGAGCCAATATAATGAAATATCGTTTAACATCAAGCTCTAGTTTGCTGCCAGTGATTTTTTGTTCATGTATGCAAATTTCAGGATTGAGAAGAAATTTATGAAAACGTTTCCTTATATTTCATGAAAAAATCTCGACATTTTTTACCATGCATTTGCGTTCTGGTATGAAGCGTCACGCTTAACATATATGACGCCATTAACGTATCTTAATCAATACTTCAAAAAAAAGGCACACATGTTAACCATGAGCAATAAACACGTGTATGTTAAATGAACGTTTAGCTATAAACGCGACGTTTCATGGTTGAAACATGCATATACACATAGTTTGTTTTAGTGCAGTAATATTACTACACTGTTACCTTTTTGGTGAAGTTAAACGTTTTTGACTTGTTTAACTCCAAGTTTGGAGTTATTATATGCCTCCCTTTGAGGGCTTACAGACTGTGCTGGGTTTTTCTATGAAGTTAAATAATATAAATCAATAAAAAGATTTTGTACAAATATTATAATTCGATTCATTTACAAATTCTCATTACTGACATTACATCGCTTCGCTTCTCAAGTTCGGCGGGAAAAGTCCCGTGTTTCTATACAGTTTTAGTATACACCCGAATATTGTCTATTTCAAATCCTACATTCTGATTGGCTACTCAACCATTGTCTATTCGTGATGGTGAACGTTTGGGAAAAATTCGCTCGCGCGACCGTATAAAATTGAATTAATTAAATTATTTTCTCGAAATTAATATATCTAGGTACAGGGTGTATACTAAAACAATTAGACAACCCGCCTTCGTTGTCTATGAGCGAATAGTCAAATCAGGCTTCGCCTTCGTTGACTATTTGCTCATAGACAACTCGGATTTGTTGTCTAATTGTTAAATAGAAACAAGCTTCTTGACCAATCAACACACGTGTACTATAAATGTTATATTATTGCGTTCGACCATATGGTTCGACGAAGGAGAACGCTTCCTAATTGTGACGTGACGGCTAGATGCAATGTCATTTCGAGATTTCTTTAATTGTCAGTCAATAATATAATCCATGTATCCTAATCAGGCGCAATAATTTTAAAATGCATAATAAATGTACTATGAAAATCTCTACGTTGTTGAACGTGGTTTTCCACATTGAAAACATTTGTAAAAGATTATTTTTCTTTTAGGTCATCCATCGACTGCCAGTGCTTCACTTGGAAGACGAGTTACATCACAGTGGCTGGAATGCATGCAGTAGGTTAGTGCCGAGATCGTCTCGATGACGTCTTTCATCTGGAGGTAATCCAGGATGATGAAAATAATCATTTTCCTGTTTAGTTGCCATGGTGATTCGAGCAGAAAACGGGACTCCTTAATTATGCCTTCCATAATAAGTAGTCGCATATACATCTTTGATGTCGCTAAAGACCCAAGGGCACCCAGAATTCGCAAGGTATCATATGATCACAGCTCGTCTTATTACCAGTTTCAAAATCTGCGATTTTATGTGCGATTTTCCTCTTTTGAAAGATGTGAATGAGTAATTAGTTACGAATGCTCTGACGTATAAGAGCACTTATTTGAACATCAGGAATTAATTCGCACGTTCACAATTCACATCTATGAAATAATATAAAGAGCGAGCTTTCGACCCTAGGACCTTTCTCATAACGACGTTAAACGCGGCGAGTCTGTTACACGAATTTTCATCAGGCTTTCCACGTTTCACGAGAAAGGTCTATCGTACTCCCTCATCTATACTCCCTTACCTATATTTTTTTATAATACACATATCTGGGATGATATGGTAATATATTGCATTACATTAATATTAATTGTAAACAGGTGATTGAGCCAGAAGAAGTATTTGAAAAAACTGGTTTAGCTTACCCCCATACGTCACATTGTCTTGGTAACGGTGACATCATGATCAGTGCGATGGGAGACCCTGAAGGCAATGCAAAAGGTAACTAAACTGACAAAATTAAAAATGGCGTCTAGTTTCGGCAAATAAGTTGATATTTTGTAATGATATTTTAAGGTGGGTTCATTCTGGTGGATGGAAAGAACTATTCGGTGAAGGGCAATTGGGAAAAGCAAACCACAGAGTTTGGTTATGACTTTTGGTACCAGCCTCGACATAACGTGATGATCAGTTCAGAATGGGCGGAACCTAAAGCATTTTGCAGTGGATTTCATCCACAGCATGTAACTGATGGTATGGGGGTTTCAGTAATGAAATCATTCTTGTTAATGCTCAGCGCCGGTTTTGAGTAAGAACACCTAAAGGGAGTGCCAATTTTAGTCACACCTGTCAGACTGATGATCTTCATTTTAGGCAAATATGGCAATAGCATCCATGTCTGGGACTGGACCACACGTGAACTCAAGAAAAGCATACATTTGGGTGAAGACGGAAAGGTTCCACTGGAGTTGAGATTCTTGCACGATCCTGATGCTAACTTGGGATATGTTTGTTGTGCTTTGTCGAGTACTGTCTTTGCTTATCATCCAAACAAGGTAATCATGTTGAACGAAAATTGTTTACTAACTAAAACATTTATTTCCTTTCCCTCTACGTTAACCTTCATGTTCTCACGATCATCTAAACTGTTGATTTAGAACGGTGAATGGGTTGCAGAAAAAGTAATTTCTATTCCAAGCAAGAAGGTTGAAGGATGGTCTATGCCAGAAATGCCTGGTAATAATGTGTCTATATAGGGTCTATAATCAACTGCTCTAATTTCCGATTAAAGTTATATACAATGGTTGTTTATATTTTTGAACGTTTAAAACGAGAAGGTTTTGATTCCAAATACTTTTCTCTAGGTTTGATAACCGATATTTTGATCTCTCTGGATGACAGATTTCTTTACCTCAGCAACTGGTTACATGGAGATATCCGTCAGTATGACATCACGGACAGACTAAATCCAAAACTCGTAGGCCAGGTGAGATGATGTTGCCAGTGCACGCAGCTGATTTTGCCCATGTTGCAGATGCATGCAGCTATTCATATCTGATCAGATTGATTAGCCCCGTGCGCATTTAGATCATTACTATGATACTTTGAAGATCGTAAACTATTTCTAGGTATTCATTGGTGGCAGCATAGCCAAAGGAGGAAAAGTCAAAGTGATCAAAGACCATGAGCTAAAAGAACAACCCGAGGCTGCTTATGCCATAGGAAAGAAGATTCAAGGAGGAGCTCAAATGATTCAATTAAGTTTGGATGGAAAACGACTTTATTTAACAACATCTCTTTTCAGCATATGGGATAAGCAGTTTTATCCCGACATGATTAAGTAAGAAAATATATCTGATTGGATTAAAAGACAAAGAACGATTACTAGAAACGAGGCAGTGTGATGAGGGTTACAGCCACGATACTGCGCCTTTAGAGGATATAATTATTGATATATTCCACGATATTTTTTTAGAAATGGCTCCATGCTGCTAAAGGTAGACGTGGACACAGAGAAAGGAGGGTTAACACTGGACAAAGAATTTGGCGTTGATTTTGGACAGGAACCTGACGGTCCAGCTCTTGCACACGAGATCAGATACCCAGGTGGTGATTGTTCATCAGATATATGGATCTAATTTGGCTATTTCACAGACTTGTTTTATTATTGATCACAAAATCTATTATATATTCTATTAATCACTTGTTTTATGATTGATCACGAAAATAGAGCATTTTTTCGCTTAACGATTTTAAAATTTATCAGCGATAAAACAAATAAAATATTGGTCTCAGTAAATTAATTTAATCGTATAAATGGGGTAACAAATTATTAGTTTCAAATTTGTAGTTTCAGCAGGCTTAAATTTAATAAATCTTTGACGGCTGTATTATTTAATGTATCCTAGTTCTAATATCGCGACGATCCCGGCCCAAATTTTCAGGCGTGCCAGGATAATTTATAGGTGCATTGGTTATAAAAATTAGCAACAATCCGCGAGTAGCACCAGTCTGGTCAAGGTTTGATTGCAAGGCTTGCAATGCAAGCCGCTCCAAAGTCGGTCTTTCGTCTCATATAAGTAAGTTAGGTACTGGTGGACAATTTCAGTTGGTTTAATATCGGTTCGGAGCGGGTCTGGTTCCTTCACCAATATCGGTGTCTCGGTATGAGATGAGATGTTCACAGTACATTTTGTGATATTTTGAACTCAGTTCAGGTAAATTGATCATTATTTTAAAAATTTACCACCCCGACGGCCCGACTGTATTAGCTTAACTGAAAGCATGGTTTAAGACCACCTCTTGAAAATCTTAGGCCAATGTTTCCAATTCAGCAATTGGGCGAAACCACACACAATTAAATGAAGGTTTTTTAAGGTCATATATATTAATGCATTTTACATTGATCGAGTTTTATAAGATTAGTTAAAATGATGCTACAGTCATACACATTTTGACGAAATGATTGATTGCCAACACAACACTTGACACTTGTCTCAGAATACCATAATACTAGCCTTCGTCTTCGATACTCTATATCTGATTCGACATTCGACAACCGAGTCCTTGTTTAAATTTCCTATATTTAGCTATGGCCCTGGTTATTAGTAGGCATCAGGACAGGGCCGTAGCTAGACCGCATAATTGGAGAGAAGGGTGTATATTCAAATATTTACGGAGCTTAGGTAGACTGAAAAACCTGGCTTGCGAGCTTGGCCCAGTAGCCCCGTCCCTGGATTTACCATTGCTTTGCTTTTTTTTCGGATCAATTGAGAAATTCGAAGCTGGGAATTTAGGTATAGAGTTTCTATGTTGATTTGAAATCGACCGATCAAAGACGCAAGTTTGAACTTCTGGATGTTGGCAAATCGAAGTAACTTTAGAAAAATCAATGAGTAACTTTAATGAGAGCCAGGTTTTTTACCCACTGAGCTATATTAAAATTGCTAAATTATTATATAGCTCAGTGACAGTGACTCTACCCCAGTTCACTGCTTTCTTTACCCTTCCTATTTCCTAAACATCATCACATGACTGGAGATATTCGATATATCTTCGTAAATACAAAGTCTGTTCATCTGTCGTGGAAATTATATAAAATTTTAAACAGGCTTGCATTTCGCAGTTTTTTTCAAAATGAACAAGAAAAAGGTACGATGCTATGCGAGTAGTTTATTTTCCACCCCTGTGCTTTTAATCGATTGCTTGCGATTTTAAAATATTTGGTATAAACCATTTTTCTTTGATCATCGAATATGGGTCCTTTTTGGAACTGTGCTTTTGTTTAGGTTCTTCTCATGGGGAAAAGTGGGTCGGGAAAGACTAGTATGCGATCTATTATCTTTGCGAACTATATCGCCCGCGATACAAGACGTTTGGGGGCTACAAGTAAGTATAGTTATGTCAAATTCTGGTACAAAACATAAACAAATTGCCATCATTCAATTCGTTTAGCGCCACTTGCAACATACACGAGTACAAGGTGCAATTAGTGGTTACTATACTTTTAGAAATAGAAGTATTTAGAATTGATATGTTTAATAACCGAGCATGAATAGTGTTTAAAACAAAACATTAGAAGCCAGCTAGTGGTATTAAAAGGTATTAATGTACCTACTTTAACCTTGGCAACCAGATAAGGTCCAGATTGGAAAACTTGCTATCACTCGCAGTTACACTGATAAAAGGAAGGGTCTCGTAGATCACTGGTCTTTCCAAATCACTTGCTGAAGTTTTTATGTGTTTTTCAACTAGAGCAGATTTAAAGGACTGTTAAAGTATCTGGGGACAATCTCTTTAATGCTAAACTGGCCTTGGTTTGAGTTTATAGATAACAAAATAAGATTAATCCTCATTCTAATTAAAGTGTAGTCATTAGGTTGACAAAAGAAAGAAGTTTCTTCTGGATGTGTTGAACAGAGTTGAATCAATTAATACACAGCTTTGTTAATATTGCAAACTGATGTAGAGATCATTAATACTATTTGTTCCAATTATTGACTTTAATTCTCAATATTCTTGAAAAGGCAAAGTCAAAATGGAATAAAAAAGCCATGAAATTAACTATTTAGCAATGCTTCAAATTTCAGGAGCAAGTTAAAGCACATTCTTCCATCTTCTCTGCTACCAAAACTGGATGCTTAGGACATGTTGAGAATTTGTCAATGACAATTCCTTTTTTTGATTTAGTTGATGTAGAGCACTCACATGTCAGATTTCTTGGAAATTTGGTATTGAATTTATGGGACTGTGGTGGGTTAGTAAAACATCCATTCAAAGAGACTTGATACAAAATTCACTTATTTTGCCAAGGCTTGATGAAACTGATTGTACCACTCTCGTTGTGCCTTTGTGGAAAATTTTTGAATCATGTGGACATCTAATTTACATTGATGTGCATAAACCACTGTAACCTTTTTTGCATGTAAATATATAACACTGTATGTTAGGCATATGTGATGAGTGCACTAAGGCTTTAACTCTCTGAACAGTATAGAACCATAAATCACCAATCCTTACAGTACCCACCTTAGACTGTTCATCTTACATGTTTTTGTCGAAATTAAGTGGATTGGGTGCTTTTCTCATTATTTTTCTTTGTACTTTGTAGGCAAGAGGCATTTATGGAGAACTACTTTGACAGTCAGAGAGACAACATATTTCAAAATGTCCAAGTTCTTATATATGTTTTCGATGTGGAGAGCCGTGAACTGGAAAAGGACATGCACTACTATCAATCATGCCTAGAAGCAATCCTTCATAATTCACCGAATGCTAAGATATTTTGCCTCATTCATAAAATGGACTTGGTACCTGATGATCAACGAGATGAGGTATGGATTAAAAGAGGCAGCTACAGTACATAAATACGAAAAACTGTTTTTTGAGCCTAGTTCTGTGGTGTGTTAAAATTTTGCATTCCGCACGTCTCCTGAACTGTGTGCGCAGTGTTGACGCCTATGAATTTTTTTTTCGTAGATTTTCAACGAACGCCAAGATGATTTAAAACGATTGTCCAAACCATTAGAATGCACATGTTTTAGAACGTCAATCTGGGATGAAACTCTATATAAGGTACAAGTGCAAACTGCAATTCAGCCAGGGTGGTGCCTCATAGGAGGTGTGGTGGTGTACCTCCCTTAGTCCTTTCCTTAACCCCCCCCCCCCCTTAGCATGTAGGCTGCAAAGTTTTCTGAAAACAACCTCCCCCCCCATGAACAGTCGCTTCTGATACTCACATTCAATAGGAAAACTGATTACAAATTGGTCCTCCAGGTTACTGCAGCGTTTCGGCCAATGGTTTTTATATGCCCTGGCCTAATTTTGAGATTTTTAGATTCCCACTCGAAATCAACACCCTTTACCCTACATTGAGTTACTGTAAGTGCCACAAAATTGACCCTATTACATTTATTAGATTTGTACCACTCAAAACCGTATTGTTTACAAACAAACTTTCACTTCATGCTTCTCTTCTTTATTGACCGCATTTTTATTGTTTTAGGCGTGGTCGTCCATCGTATACCAACTGATTCCTAATGTTACCGAACTAGAAGACAATTTAAGTAAATTTGCTGATATTATCGATGGTGACGAAGTTCTCTTGTTCGAACGCGCAACATTTTTAGTAAGTTCAATGAATTTTTTTATTGATGCACGCAATACAACATGGATCCTAGGAAATTTATATAAGTAACCAGACATACCAGTTCATCTACATATTGCGGTCAGGAACTTGAATGGTATAGCGTTCAATGGTATGTAGCTAAAACGATAAAGTATACACACTCGCGCAATAGACGAGACACGTTCTTTAATAGACGAGACACATCCTTTTCATTTATAATTATTAAATCCAGACACAAAATTCGTTTCGTCAGATGAAAAAAGACGGCAATTTTCGTTGTTTTCTCGTCTAGGTCATATCTCATTGTCAGAGAAAAGAGCATAAAGATGTTCATCGATTTGAAAAAATTAGTAATATAATAAAGCAGTTCAAACTAAGTTGCAGGTATGTATAACTGACTCTTGCAATTTTCAGTGTACAGTATGATATAAGTTTTCCCGAATTAGTAAAATGGACCATTTCCAATCCGTATTGAACTAAATTTAAAACTAAGAATATTCATCAGTATAGCTGGAGAGAGCACTAAAAAACTTGTTGAAATGTGGAAAGTTTGGTCGGTGAGATATTGCAAAGCGTGAAAAATATAGCCTTGCAAAGTTGGCAAATTTTGTGTAAGGCAGTATAACTCGCGAAAAAACGTTACCACTATACAGTGTATTTCTCGTATTTTTCAACATTTTCAAATCAAGTTTTCCGATTTTACTAACTTTGGGGCGGTCTTTTAGGCTGTACGTCTCAGAACCGAACGTTTTCAAGTAGTTCGATAGGAAAATGGTCAATCAAAGTGCCCTTCATAACGAAGAAAATCAACAAGTCTTTGAAACAAGACTGGAAACAGAAAAAAAACGCTCAAAATGCATGTAAACACAATACTTCATTCATTCATTTATTTTCTAGTAAACTCCACGCTCATTTCCAGAGTATGGAAGTTCGTAATTCTGGTTTTGCGGCGTTTATCGACGTCTTCACAGCCAATACATATGTGATGGTCATTATGTCCGATTCCACTATATGTAAGTACCTTCCTTCTATATTCCTTCCCACTACAAAAGATCATCTAAAATTACTAAAATGCTGGACAATTGTTTCGCTCCAAACTTCATCCCCTGTTGTGTTTTTCAGTTCAATTTTAAATTTGAATCCAGCGCATAAGCAGTAGAAAATTTAGGATACTTTATGCACCAAAGATTTTATGACGTCAACTTTTATTGTTTAAAAGCTATCGACTTCGATTCATCAACGTACAGAAAGCTGCATTTTACCACCATTTGCAAGCAACCGTCAAACGACTGCCTCAAGTCGTCTGGCTTAACATTTTAAAGGCTTTAAACATGCACGTTTACTTTTGCAATAGTGTACGTTTTAACTGCCAACGTTTCCTAGTAAGAATAGCGGCGGTGAAAGTTACACTTTTGCTAAGCGTGTTTTCTTGTTTACTTTAAAACCGCTGATATAACAACTAGTTCGGCTTCTAGTCAGTACTGGTAGTTATAGTATGTTATTATTTTCAAACTTTTAACAGCATCAGCCGCAACGTTGATCAACATTCATAACGCCAGACGACACTTTGAAAAATTGGAGAAGAAACCTGCCAGCAGCTAGCACGTAGAAAGCAATACCATCGACGAATTATTTTGAATTGTTTAAGGCGAATAGCAATAAAAAATATTTTCGACAATTATTGGAAGCACAGTTGAGTAAGGTTACAAAGTCCTCTTATGTACATATAATTTTCACATTAACTTTCTAATTTATGATATATTTTTTTTGTTGCATAAGATGTACGCTCTAAACTCTGCTGTATTTTCCTGATCTAACCGCATCAAATTAAAAAGTAACAATCTGAAACAATTTTCACCTAAGGTTGATCTCTCATTTGATAAAAATTGCCGCCGGCGTCCTAGTTCCTAATTGGTCAATCGGTCACGAAAACGACAAATCATTGGTTAATTCAGTCTTCAATGCTGACAAAATTATGGGTGTGACTTTTGCTCGCAAAATATTCCAGACAATTATTGTGAAAGTTGATGAACATGAAAAGTAATTTTGTAACTATTGTTATAGATTGTTTAAATGAGATACGGATTTTTTTATTGCTATATTCCTTTACACAATTTTGCCGTGACTGGTGGAAATTTTTTCGGTAGCTATGTGGAACACCTATTCGAATTTGGCACCTATATTATGCATTCTTATAATGGCAGTAGCTGTTATAACGTTTATGGAACATTAATAACAACTATGATTATTTTGTAGAGTATATCACTATATGTATAAACTATTTTTTAATATGGTTATTGATTGTAAGGTGTGTGAAGATTTTCTTATCTCCCGAATATGATGGCAAACACTTTTCCAGGATATTCGGTCTTCGACACAGAGCAAATACTCTGGAAAACGAGACGTTACTGACCTGTATATGCTAGTATGTTAGTTCATCGGTTCTGGTTCATCTGGATTGAGTGTTTAAGATGAAGTTTATTGACAATGATGATGAATACAGGTGCCATGCGCATGCTGACTATGTCTCAACAGCAAAACTGATTTTCAAGTACAATTTGCCCAGAAACAAAGTGCTGATATGGAGTCCTCTGAGGCAGTGAGGCTTCTATCCATCATTTCTCGACTAGGATTTTGAGCTGTAGTAATTTATTCTGCCTACCCTGAATGTGCACTGCCCACTATCAAAATTTAACTGAGTCTTTCTAGGTACTTGAGATCATTTGGGAAGTGTCTATTTTCATTGTTTTTGTTGCAATCAATTTTCTAGCTCCCACTAGTCTGTACTGATAACTTCATGTTGACCCTATCTGCATAGTTTATTGTCTACCTTTGATCGGGCAAATTGTGTTTTAATGGGAATGGAGTTTTTAATGTCATTTCAATATGAGATTTTTTTAAGGATAAATAAGAAGGATTGTTCATTGTAAAATGCATATTGAAATGAAATGGTTTGTGTAGGTTTTAAAATGTGCTTAATTGATAAAAATTGCACAAAGGTATATAAATTAAGTCCTTGGAAATTTTTGAGCAACTCTACACAAACCCCGAATTGCATGATAGCTGCAACATAATTTGCATTATGCCAGGTTGCCTTATTATATAATATAATATATTACATAGTTGCTTTAATGGCAATGTTGGCTAATACTTTTTAACTATAGGATGTACAATGGATTGTTGCATTAAAAAGCTAGTTTCTTCATCAGCAAGTAAATATACTGATCAACTTCCATGTCATGTAAATTGTTAGCATCTCCTTGTAGTCTCATGAGCAGGCCACCAAAGGACACATATGCAGACCTAGATTAAGTAAATAGAAGGCAATGAAGGCATTTTCACTTTAGCTGGCAACATCAATAAAGTGCATTATTATATAGAAATAGTTTTTTCGAGTTTGTCTTTGCACGTTCACCCTTAAAATGCCCATAATAATTGGATCTTATAGTAAGAAAATAGAGTCAGCTTTTTTTGCTTCAAATTACATGCTTTTGAGAAACCTGTTATCACTTACAATCTAGTTGGTGCTTCAACAGAGCTGCCTTCTTCATCAATTCGATATGTTTTACCATACATAACATATTCAAACTGGTCAGCCCTGGATGGCATATTGTCCATTGGCTGATATTCCCCATCATCCGGGGCCCCATCTTCACGTAGTGTGGAGGCAAGCACAAGACGAAACTTGTCTCCGAGGTCAACAGGATATACTTGAATGTTCACATCAAGAATGAGATCCATTTTGAAACTTTCACTTTCACAGTGAAGTCTTGACACTAGAGTGAAGTTACAGGGCAAGATACAAAAGTTGATTTTGAATTTTGATCAATATTGCATTTGGGGAAAATCAAGGTGGTAAACTAGACTGTGACTTGAATCACTATGCTGTATCAATTAATTTACTGATGCTAATATTTCGTATGTCATTAACTATTACTGAAAGAAATACTTAATTTCCCAAAAATATTCATCTAGCACAGCCTACCCAATCCCATATATATGGCCAGTAAAGACCATAACTCTATAAGTGATATTACCAAAACGTATGTAAAATACCTCTGTCAAATTTCTTTCCCTCAGGGTTTATATCTTTTACATCGAAAATATCCTCAAAAAGAACACCAGCCATGTTGTTCAACTGTCTTGCTTTAGCTTATCACATTTCAGACATCACGCACATCGCATGCGTTTGAAAGTTTGAAATTGTTGATGTTACTATAAAGACTAAAGAGACTGTGTAACCTGGCAAAGTGTAACTTCTATACACCTCCCAGAGTCCCAAAGGTGGCATATAAATCCACGTTAAAACTTAGGGGAAATCATTATGTTATTGTAAAAAGGACACGCTTGTTGAAGTTGAAATCGTACTTTCTTCTAAATTCATAAGAATTTTCTTGAAATTGCACACGTTACTTATTTTTCTACTAAAAATATATCAACGTTCCCTGCTATACCCCCCCCTAAGTAACGAGGTTTTCCCAACATCACAAACATGGCGGCCGAAGGTGAAGAAGAACGTGCAGCAAAAGCACATCGTGAAAGAAAATCAGGGCCCAAAGCAGAGAAGAAAAAGAAGCGGAGACAAGCCCAAAATGAAGATTCCAATCGCAAGAATCTTAAGGCTTTTTCATTTCATTCCACGGTACGCGCGGCTCGTCAGCAACGACGTAAACTTGACGTCCAAACCAAAAAGCATCATGTCCCATTAGTAGACCGTACGCCTTTAGAGCCACCTCCGATTGTTGTGGCTATTATAGGACCTCCTAAAGTGGGAAAAAGTACATTGATTGGCTCACTTTTGAAGAACTTCACCCGACAAAATCTCACAACCATTAAGGGTCCAGTGACGATCGTGTCAGGTGGGTAAATGTTATTATGTATCTATAAAATGTATCTACAAAATTCTTATAAAGGATAGACGAGAATGGCAAAAAATGTGTAAAGACTACGTTTTTGTTTTTTTTTTAACCTTGATAAGAAAATTGCTTAAAACCAGACAAAATATTATCATTGGGCTATTCCATTTGCATTTCCCCCCTATCGAGGAGCTTGCTTCTGGCAACTTTACCCCTGAGGAAAATACGATTTTTTTCATACCCCAGAAGAATTCCTGACTTAAATATGTCTACCCCTAAGGAATTCCTGACTTAAATATGTCTATCCCTAAAGAATTCCTGACTTAAATATGTCTACCCCTAAAGAATTCCTGACTTAAATATGTCCACCCCTAAAGAATTCCTGACTTAAATATGTCTACCCCTAAAGAATTCCTGACTTAAATATGTCCACCCCTAAAGAATTCCTGACTTAAATATGTCTACCCCTAAAGAATTCCTGACTTAGATATGTCTACCCCTAAAGAATTCCTGACTTAAATATGTCTACCCCTAAAGAATTCCTGACTTAAATATGTCTACCCCTAAAGAATTTCCGACTTTCGTATGTCCACCCCTAAAGAATTCCTGACTTAAATATGTCTATCCCTAAAGAATTCCTGATAATGACCCATCCTTGAGGAATTCCAAGGCCCTAACCTGACGAAACCCTGACGAATTCCAAGCTCCTCGATAGGAGGGTTGCGGATATTAAATGGAATAGCCCATTTAGCAGGCAGTGTATGTTCGATAGACTGCTAAATGCTGTTGTTGTCTTTCCAGAAAATTGTGTTCGATTGACATGATTATCTTTAGCTTAAAATTATAAGTTTCTATTTAAACCACCAATGATGCATTCCACAAAGCCTATGCCATAGCTATGCCTAATCCTAATGTGTACGTGTGATGGCCATAGAAGCATATTGATGGCCATAGAAGCATATTGACTAAAAATCTATACAGGCTTCCATGTAATGATAGTCTTGCATCTGTAATTTTCAATAGCACTTAGGGATAACCTACAGCATCCAGGTACACTAAGTATATTTATCAACGCAAAGTACTCATAATGCTAATTTTATTGTATATTGCATTATATATATAAATTATGTGGTCTTGCAAAAAACTGATAATTATGTAAAATTATGGTCACTCAGGCAAATTTCACATTTTTGTCAATACATATTTAGCTTTGGTCAGACAGAAAGTCCTGTGCTTATATTTAGATTAAATCCCAATTTATAATATTATTCTATTTAGATTCACCTCAATCTATAGTTTAGCCCACAATGCAAAAATACATAATATTATACGGCTGTATTTGTAAAACTTCTAACTGTCTTGTTAAACAATTTTTTTAAGGAAAAAAAAGACGTTTGACAATAATTGAATGTGGAAATGACATGAATATGATGATTGATATGGCAAAAGTTGCAGACTTGGTATGTTCCAATACAATAATTAATGTAATAATATTATGTTATCTCATAGCAACACTAATCTAGATTACCCAATCAAAATTAACTTTGACTTTCACCAACTGGGTGAATTTTTAATGTACAAATAAGTTCGGCTTATAAGTAAGTTTGGCTTATTAGTTAAGCAAATAATATTCATCTTATGCCCGACTGACAATAGCTAACAGAGCTATTGTTTTTATGGTTGTACGAACATGAAAATTTGAATATACACCCCAAGCTTCTAGCAATGGCCCCATACTGTAGCTCCATTCAACTTACGGTTTCAACTTCCACATTGTAATCAAGCAATTAGTAACTGTATATTCATTGAACTTTTGATTCCTCTAAAAAAATAATCTACAGGCCAACAATTAATAGAATAAAATAATAAATGGTAAATTAGATAAAGACCATACATTTTAATAGCCTTCTGAAGTGCTTATGTCACACAGTTTTCTATCTATACAATTTTGTCCCACTTGTTTCCCAGATTGCATTGCGATTCATTGTTCGAGACCGACATGACGTAAGCACCTCAAAGGTCTATTGGTATACACTTTATGGTGATTACATTATTGACTAAAATCTAGCTGAATATTTTGTGATAAAATCAACAACAGACAGTGGCATAGGAAGGGGGGGAGGGGCACTGGGGGCACATGCCCCCCCCCCAAGATTTTTCAAGGGACCAAAAGTGCCCTTTTTGTGAAAAAAATGCCTTTTTGGGAAACGAAAAGAAAGAAAAAAGTATCTACTATTTCCCAATAATCCTTAAATTGAGAGGGATTTGTGGCCATTTCAGAGGCCTATATCTCAAAATTTTCTCGGGGAAGCATGCCCCCGGACCCCCCTAGCAGTACAAAGCCCAAGAAATACGAAAAATGTTCTGCGGTCAGCGGTCCCTGAATCAAGCCGTCCCTATATATATTTTTTATTAACCATTTTAACCGTCATTTTTATTAACCAAAAGTGCCCTTAGAAGCTGGTGCCCCCCCAACCTCTGGATGCTTCCTACGCCCTTGACAACAGATTTTTAGAACTTTATCATTAACATTCTGCTTGTAATAAGATGAACAAGAATCACACTTAGCAACACTCAATTTCTGCTTCTTTGCGTATGCTTTACTTTCCTGTAAAATGGTGAGATTTTTCTGACTTCTCTTGTCACATACTTATTGTTTATCTTTGAATATTAGACTGTACCAGTAAAAGGTAGTAAGTAAAAGGTTTAATTTACATTTAAATGTCAATGACTGTCACGCTAAAACATTCACAACATTACTACAATCAAAAGTATGTCAAACATGCGGAAAAATTTTTCTGAAAGTTTCCCACTGAGAAAGAGCAATGGTTTGTGTAAGACAAATTGCTTTACTGAGCCTGTTAAAGAAAAATGATTTTTATAGACATATCTACTGTACATACATTGCCCTAAGAAGATATGCATGTTTTATTGGTATGATATAAATTATGTGCTTGTGATATATTTCAATATATAAAAATTTCAAATAACTTGCCAGAGTATTCGTGTATAAATGTATAAATGCTGTATACGAAAAACAAATAGTATAATATAATTATAAATAGGATGGCCTAGTCGACACTTCGTAAGTGTTGGACCAGATATAGCCAGGAAAACTTCCATGTGACTTGCTTGTGATATAAGATTTATGAATATATGTACAGTAGTAGGAACTTATATTAGCTATGAAATTTCGGAGGAACTCACTTGCATTTTAAACTCATCTTTAAACTTTCTTAATTGTTTTGAAACATATAGTTGGCTATGGACCAACGCCTGTAAATTTGAAAGTTTGTATGGGCCGAGGAAAATGCAATAAGAAAAAATATATAAAAGAAGTGACACGTTTTAATGGCCATTAAACAATGATGTTAAATTGTTAAAGTTTGTTTAAATTTTAAATACTTTTCTCGTAATTACACTCGAAGCTACTGTATTATACTGTTTGTTAATGAAATAGCTTACAATCACATGTTCTATTACAGGCGTTGCTTCTTATCGATGCTAGTTTCGGATTTGAGATGGAGATTTTCGAGTTCCTCAATATCTGTCAAGTGCATGGTTTTCCTAAGATTATGGGCGTTCTTACACATCTGGATCTCCTCAAGGACAACAAATCTTTAAAGAAAACTAAGAAAAGATTAAAGCACAGATTCTGGACTGAGGTCTACCAGGTACGTGATATCATAGACAATACAGAAGACATGTTTTCTGGATTGTCTATGGTGATATGCTTGCAGATTTATAGGAAATCCGCGCATATCTCATATACATGAGATCAGTTTACATTATTGTATATTATATAGGTATACAATCAGCATGTGTATATATTATAATTATTATTATTATTAAGTTGTGAACGGGAATTTTTTCACATCACTCTTTTTCCTTTCCATGGGCATTTCTGTATTGTATCATAGACAGTAATTTCCAATAAGTTAACACATGCTCAAATATTCTTCTGAATCCGCATTCTGCATATGCGTATATTCTGAAAGCTCATGAAATGGTCATTATGGCAGCTATGAAATGCCCATTTCATATGAAGCCTAATTCGAAGTTCATGCCGCCTGCAGTCTTCAAATCTTTAGTGCAAGAGACTGAGATTTCGCTCAGTTATTTATAAATTATTTTGCATATTTAAGAGCGCACATGCATGCGCGTAAAAGTTCAAATGCTTTTAATTTTTTTGCCACCTAGGTCAACAAATGCACACACTAAACTACGCGGAAAACTAAGTTCTTTTGATTTATTCCCTTAGTTTTTTTTAAAGATTACGTGCGTTTACCTGCGTATGGAAAACGCGTAAGTGGAATTAAAGCAGCTATAAAGTCTATACGCAGTATAAGAATTGCAGCAAAGTTTATGAGCAAATGTACATTACAATTAACGCGGTGCCGTTATTATTGTGTCTGTATACCTATTGTTTGCAACAGCTAACAATTCGATTTATTAGATCCTTGCCCTGTTTTCGTAGCATTTTGTTCATCCAAAAGAATATGACGGAGTTTAGTGACGAGTTGGTCATGGCGAGAAGGCCAAACCAAATTTTCATCCTAATTTCGTCGGCGCTCGAGTGTAGGTTCAGCGGTCCAAACGAGAGTGTACCTGGACAGGAACAAACGAGGCAACACATCACGATGAGAAAGCATGTTTTAGCCACTTTAACTTCTTTTAAAAGCAAGGCGAGTTTCGTGCGTGCCATTGCAGAACGTCCGGCTTGAATCGACTTTGTCTTGCGCATTTTCAGGTAGATCTTAAGGTACACGAAAACGGTCGACAATGTAAAGGTGCTTGTTACAATTATCATGATCGGCCGCATTACTGCGTTGTGCACCAGGCTACTCCCCACAAGAGCTGTTTGAAAACCGTTCGCAGATAACACATACACCAGCATCTTCCTGTTTGTAACCAGACGCCGGTGAGCAAATGGGTACACGATACCAAGGAATCTCTCAAAGTTCATTGCAGACAATGTCACCTGCGTGTAGAAAAAAAAGAGGAGCCCGGTTTTCTTGTGAATGTAGGCGACGGTGCAGTTGATTTTCCTTGTGACCTCTTGGATCAGACGAAACCCTGTTAAAGGCATCACGAAAACTCCAAGCGCTAAGTCGACGAGTGACAAGAGTAGTATGGCGAAATTGGAGGTTTTTTCCCGTAGTGCATCCGATTGCCATATTGTGACGACGGTGATGCCGTTTAGAAAAATTGTCGCGCAAGTTAGCAGTGCTAAGTATATCATAGCGAGGACATGAGAGTAGATGCTTTCGTCGGTGGGGAATTTCGCAATGACTTTTGCCTGATCGTCGAGAACGAAACATGTTTTAACGATTTCATTACTCGTCGTCGTGTTTTCCATGTTCATTTTGATAAGTCGTCAGCGCGAGGATTTTTCGACTGGCGGCTCTTTACAATGACCGCGTCTTCTCATTAGTTTTATTGTACAGAAATATGGGCAGGTCAATGTCATTTAAAATTTTTATGTTAATTGTATATTTTATGATTTAAAGTATTACATTATAATGTACAGACTGTAGACTTTATATATAATAAACATACTTGAAAGGGAGATGGGTCCATGATTAACGCGTCGGGAAACTTTCAGCCTCGTGAATCACGGACTCGCCGAACCTGCGAGTATGTTTAGTTTTTATCTCACGCCTTTTCCGAAAAAAGTGTTCAGAAAGCTACGCATGCATGGGGTTCGGCAGGTGGGTTCAAGTTTGAACGCACCTGCTTTTAGCCAATAGGAACACGGTCTTTACACTGGGTATGGGATAATAATGACTTCATTTGACAACAACTTTCACAATTACTTCATTAATTTTGTGCTAATGTGTTGAACCAATCACCTCCACGCTGCCCGTGCATGGGCGTTCGAAGGAAGTATACACTGCAAATTTAAAAAGGTCAAAACTTCCCCTAAAAGAGTAGTTTTGGGACCAGTTGTTCAAGGCTAGGTTAACGCTAACCCTGGGTTAAATTTTTATCCAGTACTTTAGTTTATGTGCTTCTGAACCACTGTTCGTTTTAAAACCTTAGAAAATATTACTTCCATCGGTCCCGAAAATATTTATGAAAAAAGATATTCAACTTTGTATAAACCAGCGATTAAAAATATTAATGTAAAGATCTGCTTTAACCCACATCGAGCTATACTCTTCTGGGGTCTTTTTAACTTGCAGTGTAACACTATATGTCTGTATAATTATACAAATCACTTTCGCATAATAAATTTAGTAATTATACCCACGCACGGTTTTTCGCTTTATATATATATATATATATATATATATATATATATATATATATATATATATATATATATATATATATTATATCGATTTATTAGAAATCTTCATGTTTTTCAAAACCATTTAGAATTTATAGTATATATATATATATATATATATATATATATATATATATATATATATATATATATATATATATATATATATATCGTCAGCCTCGTACCCAGATGCTTTTTTAAAAAACAAAGGTTATAAAGGTTTCATTCAGCTAATATAGAGAGATCGGTGGCGATGGAAAGCGTGCGGGGGTGTTTGGGTATAACCTTTGTTTTCCAAAAAAGCGCCTGGGGACGAGGCTGAGACATCATGCACTCGCCGCCTAAAGCTTCGTTTTAATTTGTGTTTATCTCTTTGGTCTGGGTTTATTTTTCTTCGCGGGTCAGTCGTATATACCCACGTTTGTTTTATTTGTAGGGAGCAAAATTATTCTACATATCAGGAATTTCACATGGTCATTATCCGAAAACAGAAATACATAACCTTGGCAGGTTTATATCAGTCGCGAAATTTAGGCCACTCGCTTGGAGGTCGTCTCATCCCTATGTTCTGGCGGACAGGTATTAATATTAAGAATATATTATCAAGTTTTTTAACATTTTGAAATTATGCTAACTCTAAGTATTTCTGTACACGGAATTACCGTATAAAGATTATCATAATCAAAAACTTACCAACCCGATTGTATGTATTATATCGTTCATTTTGAAAAAGCTCGCGGTCTGCATGAAAACGTCGGTCTGAAAAACAATGCCGTTAAAACCATGCAGAATTTTTTTTTATTATATTTTATCGGACAAAATTTATTCTCTTTATCAAAAATCTCTTTGAATACAATTTTGACACAAATGATAGCGATATTATCTTTATTGAACGACGTTTCGATGCTAAAACGTGCATCATTTTCACAGATTTCATCATCATTTCACAGACAGAGATTTCACAGACATCATTTCACAGACAGAGATTGGAAAGTCGGTGTATATATGAAGTACAAAAATGCAATACGGGCGTTGTCTTCTCTTAAGACGAAAAGCATTTTAAGCTTTATATGCAATGATTACTGTATGGCTTCGGTCGATTTACGTCTGATTTAAAGGTCGAAAAAAAAAATTAGGTATAACAACTGAATGTATACATTTTGTTACAATATATACTAACGTGATATGAACCGTTTAAAATCAACGCAATTTAAATGTAATTATCATAACTTGAAAATGATGCACGTTTTAGCATCGAAACGTCGTTCAATAAAGATAATATCGCTATCATTTGTGTCAACGCTTTTCTCGACTAGGCTAATTCTTTCTATTACCAATATAGTTTTACCGCAATGTACGTTCATCACAATATATGCCCAAAAAAAATTCGAGGTAGCAAAGAATAATATATATGACACCATCACATGTTCTTTCAAAATTATTTTGAGTATGAGTGCATGGTACCAATTTAAAACTTTTTTAGGATTGAAGATCTTACAGATCCCGAAGAACTACGTCAAAATCCTAAATGTGACCGTAAGGTATCCTTTTATGGCTACGTTCGTGGTGCTAATATTAAACCGAGCAGCAAGATTCATCTGTTAGGTATGATGAAATATCTTTTCATTTTATTTGGAAAACATTAGACATTGAAAACCTTATCATCATCTCATGCATGCTTGTAGAAAGATTGGAAAGTCGGTGTATATATAAAGTACAAAAATGCATTACGGGCGTTGTCTTCTCTTAAGACGAAAAGTATCTTAAGTATTATATGCAATGATTACTGTATGGCTTCGGTCGATATAAGTCTGATTTAAAGGTCGAAAACAAAATTAAGTACAACTGAATGTGTACCTTTTGTAACAGTTAAAAGTATATAACTTTTATGTGTTTATTAACAGGGGTTGGTGATTTTCAAGTGAAGGAGATTAGCAAATTGCCGGACCCCTGTCCTTTACCGGAGAAAGAAAAAAAGAGATCTTTGAATGAAAAAGAAAAGTTGTTGTACGCGCCAATGTGTGGGGTTGGAGGCGTCATGTATGACAAAGTATGTACCTGGTTATATTTCACGTTGGGAAAAATCCATCATGTTTATCTCCTGTAAACAATGAGGATTTCTATTTATAGACGAATCAGCAAATTTGTTTGCATTTTATAAGTGATCTAATCAAAATGCCTAAATATTGACTATTTCTTGTAAAAAGGTACATTATTTACCATTTTACATGAAGTATTAAAAATTTAGGCATCCTGATTGCATGGCTTAGCCTGAAAAAGCCTCCTTGTTGCTTCCGTACATTTTTCACAGCACAAAAATCTGCGAATATGACAGCATTTGCTTTTCGTTTTTATCCATTTAAAGGCAAAAAGTCGATATAAATCAACAATTTTTCTATATCACAACTTATTTTCTTTCCAGGATGCTGTGTACATCGACCTTGGAGGAAGTCATCATAATAAGAAAGTGGACGATGATACTGAAAAACTGGTAATTTATTCGATTATACTTCTAAATAGTCGACTTGTTTGGCGAACACCAAGAGTTCGAGTACTCAAATACAAGGCCAGCTCAAATTTCAAAAACGGGACGTTCAATGTTTACGAAAATTTGCAAATAAAGTACAATTTTTTTAATATTTTGGAAAGACATTATGAATATTCCCTTTTTTGCAAACTAGGTGTATAGCTAATTATACCAAATTGTTTTATACGGTTTCAAATACAATTTTCGCGCGTTCCAGAAAATATTTTGTTGTATAATAGCTTTTTCTATAATGCAAAAGTGCTTGTTTGAGCTTGATTTTAAGTGTTTTGCCCAATTTCGTACGTCTTAATCACTATATACATTTTTTTTATAAGAGATAATTAATAGACATTTCCCCTTTTAGCTTTCAAGCACGCAATGCGTGACGGTAGTTGATTATCAAGGTGAATTTGAGTTGTTATTTCGCGATGTTCAGGAAAGATTTGAAACAAAAAGAATCGGCAAGGTTTTCTTACAAACAAAATCGCTTCAAAGCAGTTGATATCGCAACTCAAAGTTGTTTGATAATCAACAACCGTCACGCATTGCGCGCTTGAAAGCTAAAATGCGAAAGGTCTATTCTAATTATTAATTTGGGATGTGAACAATTCATATTTCAGACTGATACAGCCCCTGGAAACGAGCTGCTGACGTCGCTATCTGGAATGCAAGAAACAATTGACGCGAAGATGGCTTCCAGCAAACTGTCCTTATTCAAGGTAAAAAGTGTTTTTCATCAGCCATCTACCTGAGCCGTATTTTAGCGCCTCAACTCTTCTTATTTCTCTCGTTTTAAGGATTCCTTGCCTTTGGGGCAAGAGGAAGTCGACAGGTTTGTGCTCCGTATAGATATTTTTGTTGGATTTATTCATGTAGTAATAAATATTGATTTAAAGGCCCCGGGGGGTTAACGATAAAAAGTGTTCAACTTTATAACGCTGCTGTAGGTAAATTAATTACTTGTTCAATAAATGTAATTTTTGAGTAATGAAATGCCTGAGTGAAAATATGCGATTTTCACCGAGATTGACGAAAAAAATTTACGTTTGGATTGACTTTTTTTACACATGCATGTTCGAAAATGCACACCTTAAGAAAAAAAGGATGCATGTATTTAATTAAAAAGGACATGTCTTTATGAATACATTGTTGATATATAATTATTGCCAAGAATGGTGTGCCTAAATGCATATAGGGCCTACTGCATGCTTTTAAAAGCTTTCATGCACTCAACGCAAAAACAAACTCGTAAGCTAGCTGCGTGTAGTTTCGTCCAATCACAATACTTGATGGTTTATTTTAATTCATACATGCAAAACACTCGCAGCCGGCTTGCTAGTTGATTTCGCGATGAGTGGTGAAGAGCGTTAACAGCGAGTTCGCTCTAACAATTCTAAAAGTGAGTTGCAATGAAATTGACCTAACAACTAACGCCCTTTACTTTCATTCAAACATTCCAGTAAACGTGCAGCAATAGAGTATATTTTGTTACTTGCAGTTGGAAACTCCCTGGTGAAGTTGTGGTTCGTGAAAACGACCGAATACGTCGAAAGGCAACGTGGACGAGTGAAAGTAAAGATGACAGCGATGACAGCGATGATAGCGACGATCATGTCGAAAGTGATGATGATAAAATCAGTGGAGATGGTGAAGGCGATTGGAAGGCGATGGGAGAGAGCGAGGAAAGTGATCGGCTCAAGCCTAGTAGAAAAAAGGTGGGTTATTTTTTGGTACGAGCCTCAGCAAATAATTTAGACTAATAATGTAATTCGTCCTGGTATTTGCTATTTTAAATTATATGCAGATTCTCCTATATTGATGTTCGTATTTGCAGGATACCGAGTCGTTCGTTTACGAGGACGAATATGGTGATTGTAGTAGCGACGAAGAAAGTGATTCAGGTGGCGAGGAATGCGTAAATCTTGACGATGTTTCTGAGAATGATGATAATGAATGTAGTGGTAGCGACATTTCTACGAGTGACCTACCAAGCCGTAAAAAGGTCCTATCTGGGAAAAGAAAGTGTCCAGATTCTTTGGGAGAGTTGAAAAATGAGGATAGAGAAACGAAAAAGAGGAAAGCACTTCTCATTGGTGACGAGGAAAAAGATATGACGGAACCTGGCGAGAAAGAATCTTTGGGAGATTCAGAGTGGGGTAGGTCAAAAACAAGGAGGAATTTCGTTTTAAACTAATCCGCAAATTGATTTATTACAGGCTAATCCGATCAAAATGCATTGATTGGAAATACTTCATGTAAAATTGTAAATAATGTGCCTTTTTACGGGTAGTAATCTAATTTATTGGGTTACTGAAAATGTAACTTAAACAAATTTGCTGATTGGTCTGAGACGAAATTCCACCTTGTTTGTTTTACGACTCACGCGTGCGCTTGAATTCTGGCCGTAGTTACCACATAGTTTCACTGTGTAATTTTTGTCCCCGAGCGGGCGCGGAGCGCTTGCGATGGTACTAATTTCGCTCGGAGATTAGGAATTACACCCGGAACCCGGGAGAACATAGCGGAATTGTCCAAATTCTATGTCATGGACGGTCGACGTTGGGTGGTTTTGTAAGTTATGCGCATGCACGAATAACGGCTGGTGAAATTATATGATTTAATGTGATTCTTCCATTTAAGGGAAGAAATTCTGGAGCAAGAATCTGATGGAGAAAGCGCGAGAAGCTTATCTCCGACACCAGAGCAACACTCCTAACTTGAAGAAGTTGATATATGGTCAAGGTAAAAATTATTATGCATCAAGCATTCGGTTACGCTATCGAATTGATCTCAAATTAGGGAAAAAACTAATAAATGTATGTACCATTGTTTTGTCAAACGACGTATCAGGGAGACAATTATTTCTGGTGGCTGTCGAATAAAACCACCATCAAACCAATAAAATCTCCTACATTTTTCATACTTACCGTAAATACTAATTAACTCAAAGGTTTTACATTCAAAGTACAAGTTTCATTAATAATTTTTAAAAATAGGAGTTTTAGACAAGTAAGTTTTAGAATTTGACAACATTACAAATTTAAGAGGTCTTTGAGCACATTTGTACTTTTTATCCACGTTTGTATGTCCCACATTTTTAGGGACAACCTATGGCTCTGCGTTTACGAGTACCGTTGAAGATTCAGATGAAGAGGCAGTTGGTGGGCTCTTTAGGATGAAGAATCGATCAAAGGATAGCAAAGATCAGGTAATGCACGAACGTGATTGCTCTAAGGTAATGACGGAACACACACGAGAGTGGCAGGACATACTGGCAGATATCAAGGATTGTTTTGTCACCGGCAAATGGACAGAAACTGAAGATGCGGAAACCTTGCTTGAAATGGATGACCAAGACGATGGTATGTTCATTTTATTTGGAGTGACATATTTAATGATATTTTGATGTGGAAATCTTTTTGGTTAATAGTATAGTATCCATGTATACGTATGCACGTACGAAATATTCAGTTTCGTTTTGCTAAAAAAATGTGTATGTCTTTCTGAAGAACCATTTAGATACGCATGCTCACAATCACACAATCCTATAAGAAGAACCTGCCCTCCCTTAGGAAATACTACCTGTCGCATCTACTTAGCCTAATTACATATATAACTACAGTGTGCGAAGTCAGAAATTTAGATATTCCGGTTTATTATTTAGCGATGGGTGTATGCCAGGAATAGAACGTTATACATATTATTGAAAATTGTAGAAGAAATATTCGGTGACTTCGAAGATCTTGAGACTGGAGAAGTACATCATGCCAAGAATGCAGAGGAAGGTGATGAAACTGGGGATGAAACTGATGGTGATGATGAAGAAAAAGAAAAAGAAGCGATGGAAGAAAGGATTGAAAAGAAGAAAAAGTTAAAGGCCGCTTTTGACGTCCAGTATCCTTTCATTAATGAAAAAAAAAGCGTATGGAAGAAGGTTAAGCACTTTTAGACGTTGCGATATCCGCAATTTCAAAGAAGCTTCACAACACAGAATAATACAATATTTCCGAAACTTCACGATTTATTTCGGACATTTCCAACAATGTCGATTCATAGAATGTTGTAGCTACACCTAACAATTTTTCACTAACTAACTTGAGAAAACTATTTAAAATTTTTGATAGGTTCCAAAAAATATATGTTTTAACTGTCTATATTAATTAAAAACTTCGTATATCTCGAGTGACTTTGCAATTTTAAATTTGCTCATACTCTGTATTATCGACACACGTGCACGTGTAAAATTATGTAGTTTTTAAGCCTTAAACGCTATCGAGATATGATGATGGAGAGGAAAGCACATACTACGATGATCTGAAAGCCCAAATGACACAGCAAGCTCGTGTAAGTAGACATGCATGCAGCATGCTCTGTTACACGTCAATTTAACGTAGATGTATTCACCGTGATGTATTTATTGCTAATATGACAACGTTGCTTATTTTGTTGTGAAAGTGATGTAGAATAATGTCAACATACAAACGTATTCAAAAGTGAAAGGATATAATGTTTTTTAGTTAAACCAAGAGGAATTTGAAGGAATGGATGATGAGACCAGAATTCAATACGAGGGATACCGTGCTGGAATGTATATTAGGCTCGAGGTGAGATACATCAATATAAACTATAGTCTTGGAATTCACTATTATGGACTGAAAATTTGAATTGCAAACGACAAACTTCGTATCGTCGAAAATTCTTTCATGCTCGACTTCATTCAATAATTATTATCGTAACTATGTTGTATTTCCCTCGACTTTAAATTGGCTTTTTCAATACGATATTACTTTCCACATGCAGATTGACAAGATTCCATGTGAATTTATAAGCAATTTTAATCCAATGTATCCTATCATTCTTGGTGGACTTCTCTCAAATGAAGATAACATTGGGTATATAAGAGTAAGTTAATGAGGCGAAATATCTACAAGATGTATATTAAAGGGGCGGTGTCCTTAAACATCCATAAGCCAGTTCATACATTAAGGCCTCTAGCGCCAAATAGATTTAAAAAATTAGACGCCACTCCCCATTTTAAAACACTTTAACAATTATAGTGCATTAAGCGCAAGTTTCAAAAAATTTTAAATGAAAGTTCAATAATAAAGGGTAAAAAATGATGGTAAAAAACTGTTGCAAATATTTTAGGTTCGTTTAAAAAAGCATCGTTGGTATAAACGTATCCTAAAAACGCGAGATCCACTCATCATGTCAATTGGTTGGCGAAGGTTTCAGTCGGTCACGATGTATTCCACTCAAGATCACAATGGCCGCTTTCGGTTACTCAAGTATACGCCAGAACATTTGCATTGCGTTGCCTCTGCCTACGGTAAGTTATCATCGAGGTCATTGATCGTGTTTAGCTTAAACGGCGGATAAGTTCAAAATGGAAAACGAAAGTATATATTTATCGAACAACTGAGCTAAAATATTTCGATGTAAATATTTTAATTTTCGATGGAAATACGTAATATTAAATGCATAAGGTGTAGGTTCAGTTATTCAGGGCTCCAAGAAAGCCAAGACTTTGGCCCTTCTACCATTTAATCTAAACCGACCTTTCAGGGCCACGCATTTATACGAAAAAAAATCATGGCTCATGTAAGAGACAAGCTTGTCATGTAGCAGTTAAGTTAGTAGTTAGTAGTTCGCGGGGTGCTAATTATCGTAATAAAAAGATGGTGGTGTAACGCCCTGCCCAACTCTTATATGCAATTTGAATCTAAGCTGGCATTGTTGCGTATATTTGAAAACCAATTACCTGTTTTGAACTTTTTTGCCCAAAACGTGGTCGAAAATTTGTGGGCAGGTGTTTGATGGTGCAGCATGCACCTTGCAGGGACTTGTATAGCATTAGATAATTTGTTCTCCATGCCTAACATCCATGATTTACGTGAGGAATAGCAATTCAAGACTTTCCATATCAGTAATCATGTTAATCTTGATATCATGGACTTCTTAATTCTATTTTTTAATCAATAAATTAAGACATTTTCTTTTTCAAGGACCAATTGTGCCTCCAGGTACAGGTGTTTTGGCTGTCCAGTCAGTTTCAGATGTTGTCGTAAGTTGATTATAATTATACTTTTTGCGAATAGACTATTTATTCAAGAACATGACGTTATGTTTTTTTTAACATATGGTTTCTTTAAACCTTGTATAGATTGTATGATTATATTCAGACGAAATTTCTTTTATAATAAAAAATTATTAATAAATCTTAATGTAAATATGTATTAAATTGTTAATAAATACTTTGTCACTATTTCCCTATGAAACTAAACCCTAAACTGGGAAAATTCGTCTGTTCTAAGGTGTACAGCTAGAGAGAGAGAATCCAAAAATCCTGAAAGTTGGTTGGAAAATGTTGAAAAATTACGAGAAATATCGCCGAATGAAAACCTTTCCGAAAAGTGGCTCTTTTGCCTATCCGTTCCACGGCCATATTTTTCACACTTTGCAATATTTCGCGACCAAACTTTCCACTTTTACTAAGTTTGAAATGCTCTCTCCAGCTGCACTGATTAATATTCCTAGTTTTAAATTTAGTTTCATAGGGAAATGGTCTGTTATTTCAGAAGACAAGCCATGGCCATAACTCGTCCTTTTCTCCATTTTGCATCTTGTATTCGTTTTTCGAATCGTCCTCCACCCTTTTTTTCATGCTCTAAAATATTCGGGGCTTTCAAATATAATGATACCCTCCATGGGACTAAGATCTCGTTTTTAATTCCTCGCCCAAAATATTAAATCATATTTACTATTATTTCAGGCTCATTTTCGAATCGCCGCAACAGGAGTGATTCTTGATCTGGATAAATCTTCGGATATAGTAAAGAAGCTAAAACTGACTGGAACACCATTGAAAGTATACAAGAACACCGCGTTTATTAAGGTATTGGTATGCACTGGCATTCGTGCGCGTGCTTTGTTTCTTCTTCAAAATTCGTAATACAATATTCTGTCAATATATCGAGATGTTACTTTGGTCTATCAATTCCATTGTATTAGAATTAATTTAGCCGTGGATTTAATCCCAAATCTCATACTTCTCGTTCACAAATCAACCTCCCGCTTAATAATTATGTCTTCTGTTGTCAACAAAAGACCAAAGTACAATTTATTGAACTTCAATATAATTATTAAATTTTTGTCACGACAATATTACTTGGTATCAATAGTAAAATTTGGATTCTTGAAATTTATCATAATTTAACTTCCGCAATTCATATTTTGTATCCTGAATGGTGATTGGTTAGTTGTAAATACTAAAGTGATTTGTGTTGGCTATGGGCAACAGTGCAATTACAAAGTATATAATTAATGCTCAAATCGAACTCCTCTTAGCCAATGAAATTGCAGTATTTGCCATTGATTAATGATTAAAGAAGATATATAAATGAACAGATAATTGCATGGTATTTTCTATACAATAACTTTTTTATTCTCTTAACTAAAAACTAAAGATTTGATGAATTCTTGTAACGCATTTTTAGGGTATGTTCAATTCATCATTGGAGGTGGCCAAGTTTGAGGGTGCTAATATCCGAACAGTCAGCGGAATTAGAGGTCAAGTTAAAAAGGCTATTAAGGTAAGTAAAAAAGGTGTACATTGGGCTGGTTGTTCGAAACCGATTGTTTTTGCTCAACGCTGGATTTAGGCCAAGGTTAAAATTAAGCCATCCAAACACGGAAACCATTAAGTAATTGTATAAACCTGCATCTTATTAATTATATGCTTCTTGCGTTGAAAATTAACTATTCACATCGAAGTATTTTAGCTCAGTTGTTTAATAAATAGATATTTTTCTCTATTTTGATTTTATCCGCTGTTTTAAGCTAAACGCTTTTCGAAGAAACGGTACGTATAATTTATGCACCCAAAGGAGCTTGGAAAACTAGCCTTAAACTATTCAATTGCAAATAGATTAGCTTTGATATAGCTTCATATACTGTCCATTTTTCTCTTTTTTCTATTATCTTTTTAACGATTTTTTCCTGCCGTAAACAAGTTCTAACGTTTGCTTGAACTTTTTAGGCACCTGATGGGGCATTTCGAGCGGCATTTGAAGACAAGATCTTGATGAGCGGTAGGCGTTTGTTATAATCGAAATAACGTTAAACATATTATTACTACACCTCAGTTAAAAAAACCAAGCCAATCGGATTCATTTTTTCCCTCAAAGATATCGTATTCATTCGCTGTTGGTATCCGGTGACTGTGCCCAAATATTACAACCCTGTGACCTCACTACTGGTGTCTTCCGACGACAAATTTGGTTGGCAAGGCATGAGGACCGTTGCTCAGATACGCAAAGATCGTGGCCTGGAAATTCCTTTGAACAAAGACTCTTTATACAAGGTAAGAACGATAAGACTGCATAAAATGTGAGCTCTTTTGAAGCAGCAAGGATCCTAACTCCTAGAATTTTCTCTACTATTTTTTTTTGTTGTATTAAATCTCGACAAAACAATGAAATACATTTTTTTTTCATCAGCCTATCGAGAGGACGCCGAGACGATTCAACCCGTTGGTCATACCCAAACATCTTCAGAAAAACCTTCCATTCAAATCAAAACCTAAGCTGCAGGTGAAACAGACGAAGCCATCTTTGGAGACAAGAAGAGCCGTTGTCATGGAACCGGACGAAAAACGCGTAAGTATATATAAATGTAGTGCTGGTAACGTAAGAAAATACTGAAAAAACGAAATGTTGTAATACGGGTTGTCTTTCCGAAAGTGTAAACCAGGTCAGAAAATGGTATAGAAAAGGTATAATGGTCAGAAGAGGTATAGGTAGAAGTAGAAGTAGAAAAAATCGAAGTACAGGAAGAAGTAGAAGTGAAAGTAGGTAAAAGTATTGTCTGAAACTTTACATGAGTAAGAGAAAAGTAAACTACAGTGTTTATCACTTTACTGTGCTGAATTTGGAACAATCGTGTGTAAAGTACAAATAATGAACCTTTTAAATGGGGGAACTGACCAGTCGTGACAACTAGCGATGTGATATTTTCGAGCTGAGCTTCAGTTTTTCAGCGATTTCGAGTAGTGTAAACGGTTATGTAAAAAAGAAAGATTATTTTTATCGTAATGATTTTCGTTTATTCAAAGGCGTACACACTGATGCAGCAACTGTACACGGCAAACAAGGAAAAACTTCGAAAGCGCAGGGAGAAAATGGTGGAAAAGCGAACCGCATATTTGAAACAGAAAACGAAGGATGAAGCGAAGAGAAACGCGAGACAGAAAGAAAACAGAAAAAAGATATTCCGCATGTTGGGTCAGGCTGAGAAACGAAAACAACGCCATGTTAGGGACTAGCTGCATGGTGTACCAGCATACTGTAATAATGTACAGTAAGGCAGGGTACATACAGTATAGCAGGGTGTATACAGATGCATTGCAGCGTCAAAAACCTCCTTTAAGTGGAGTTCTAAGCGAGCAAACCGTTGAGATGGAATAACCTTAGAACCTGCGTATGCATTGCATGTTTCCCGAGGCGAATATTTTGCAAATGTCATTGGTTATCCTTTCGCTTAACCGCCATTGCTGGTGAAATGGTCTGTGAACGATGCGGAAAACTTTCCGATAACTCGTATTATATTTGCATATCGGTCGTGCGTAAGTCGTCAAAGGTGCCATCGATTCGTCTCGTCACTTATTTTAGCTGCTGGAGATTGGACACACTTTATTCGCATGCAGACACGATTGTACGAGTCGTTAAATACATGCAAGATAAAATTTTAAATATAGTATGATTAAAATTGGGAGTTGATTTTCACGAGTATAGTTCACTGGCGATATTTTTTTAACTTTTAGGCACATACAAAGACAAGTCATATACCATAATATGACCAGGGACTATATCGCATCATCTCTATGCCATATATAGCGACTTGCCATACACTTGAACTACAGGGTGCAACTAACGAACATATTATACAGCTTTCAATCTTGAAAAATCTAATTCCTATAATCATACGAATTCCGGAAATCGCCTATTCAGTTCGCTCTTTTAAATTATATTTTCTGTCATTTTGTAACATAGCGTAACATGTAAAATCTGAAACAAAGTAACAAACGCTGATATCGAGAGTGCATGATTTCGCTTACATAATTTTTTTTTCTGTTACTTTAATTATAGTTAGGTATTATCGAACAGCTGTTTCGAGCAATTTCGCGCAAAAACTTCAATAGATAGTATCAAAAGGGGCTTTCCTTGGGTTCTTTTGAGGAGAAGCTTTATTGAATTTGATTTCCTCTGCATCGCTTCCTTTAACCGAGACCTTTTTTGGTGCTTTATTTTGCCGCTGTTCCATTTGTCATACTTTTCACAAAGTGTTGTTTGTTGGTGCACTATGCGTGTATGTTGTTGCACACTCGAAGTTCCCATGATCTCACACAATAAATTTCATAGAAGATACAATAGTTTTTGTTTGATGTTAATTTAAGGTGAAAATAAAACTAGTATACAATGACCCCTGGGGAGTGGGGTGGTTACATTGCTTTTCTACTTTTGCTTCGCCAACTATCATAAATGTATGATAAATAATCTATATGAAAACAATTTAAACAGTATATAATATGATGTTTTTATTGTTTAAATTGTTTATATAATATACCACGATAGATGCAGTTCTACCCTAGTAGCAATGTAATTGTATATAATCAATAATTTAGTACATTGTTGATTTAATATTGAAATGCTGTTTATCTTAAGCATCAAAAATGAAAATGTTAAAAATTAAACGCATATGCGTTGACACTGGCATTTGTTAACACGCATGAAACTCAACGACAACCGCACACTTCTAAGCTTTGCAGTTCGAAGTCTAAAAATCCAGTACACGCGTATCTACAAGTCGATTCTACATGATTTGCTCAAATGAGCTGGAGCTCATTATATAAACCGGCCTCAGTTAGTAAGCCCGGCTCATTATAACAACCCCTTGGCTACAGCCTGTAATATACCTGATATTTCTTAAAACTGGAGTCATGGACAGACGTCATTAATTAGTAAGATAGTCCATTATTCTAATCCATTTTGGAGGCCCAAACTACACTTTTAACACCAAAATTGACCGCATATATTTCATTATATCACGCCCGTCTACACCATCAAGTTTTTTTCGCTACATTGTTTAAATCGCATCGATCTTATATATTCTAATTAATTAAATTTATTTCCGTCTTGTTCCACAATCAACAACAAGCAAATTTTAAGTTAAAGGTTCCCTTGCGTGAACGCCAAACCAAAAAGGTATATATATAGAAACTTCGATGATTGTTGCAGGACTATTGCATGCTCCTACTTGGAACAACGGAACTGTTCTACAATTGATGGTAACCGCCATGCACGTTCTCAAAATGTTACTCTTGGGTAGCTAATGTTGCGTCCTACAATGCCATCGTAAATGCGACGACGTGATAAAACGTTTCCCACACGTGTTGCACGAATAAGGTCGTTCGCCAGTGTGCGTGCGCTCGTGAGCCTGAAGCGTGCCGTACTGTGTGAAACCCTTCGGACAAAACTTGCATCTGAAAGGACGCTCGCCGCTGTGCTTGTACATGTGAGTCTGAAGGTTGCGATATTGCGTGAAGGACTTGGGGCACAACTTGCACTGGTATGGCTTGACGTCATAATGAACGAATTTGTGACGTTGAAGATGGCCAAAACGAACGAACGATGCCGTGCATTTGTCGCATTTGAACGGCTTTTCACCTGAAATGGGAAATTAATGATGAGATGTGATGCATATACAGGAGCCCCGTTAAGCCGGTTTTCCACTAGCGATATTTTTCGCGCGAAGCGACGTTTTACTTTGTTTCAGACTATCAACTGCAACCATCTGGAACAAATTGCTCAAATACAAAGGAATAAAGTCGCTTCGCGCGAAAAATATCGCTAGTGGAAAACCGGCTTAACAGACAACAGTCAATTTATTGACACGGCACGGCTAAAATTGGTTTATTCGTGCGCATACAGGCTACTTAATTAGTGTTTAAGGCTTCGCAGCGCCAATGAATCGTGTGTAGTGTAAACGGGGCTAGGCCCTATAGAGGGCCGCAAAATTTGTTGACACTAGTTGAAATTTGTTCAAAATTACATGACACCCCACCCAATCTTGACTCACTCGCTCCGCACACCACTGCCCACGACTAAAAGTTGTTCGCCGAATTTATTTAAACAACTCTGGCCGCTAGAAAACAATCATAAGCCTTTTTCATTAAATTTTCAATTCCAGCGATCAAGCGTCATTTCAAGATTCTAGGGAAATAAATTCCTTTGTATTTTGTGAGCACTATAAATGAGATACTTTGGGAATTCTTTTTCACACTATGTGTTCCTGGCTCAAAGCGAAAGACGGGTAGCAAAAGATGCGTTAAGCGTGTATGCAACAACACTAGTTTCAAAGGAACATAAATATGTGAACGAAGAATTAGAATAATTTTGCCAAGGGTTTTTCAGGTTTATTGTTCTGATTAAAGACCGATTAGCGTAAACAAAGGATACGTCGAAAGTCCTCAAACAGCCAATGGCAATGGTCTGAAATTTCTCATCTTGAGTATACAGTAGGTTTGGAGCTGAAATGCTGAATGGTTTTTACCGGCATGAGAATGGTGTTCAGTGTCACTACAAACTCTGTGAAAAAATGCTGCCCGCATAACTTTGACATATCAAACGGTATATTCAAACAATGGATTTTCAAGAAGCCTTGTTTTTTGGTGTACATGTAGGCTTGAAGCGTCATGACAAATATCTCAACGGAGCGAGGTAAACTTCATAATTATATCTAATTAAACTTCATAATAATTATTGTATCCTTCTGTACCATACAAACAAGTCCAAATTTCCTTCTAAATAACTACGTCAACAACAACATCTGGCAGCTGTGAAATGGCCTTTTTGAGCCTCAAGTATATACACAAGGCAAGGTTATTATTTACAGCCTGACGATTTGTCCCGCTATGCTAATATTTTGGTGTTCATTGATTGTGAAAACAATGAATTTCTAAAGCCATGTTCGGAATAGTACCAGTCATTTCCCTCATCTTGTGAGGGCAAAACGTCTGGCGTTGCACATAAGAGGTGTCTGGAATTACGAGGTTCGCCGTTATCTCTGAAATATGTACGGTTATAAATGGCGTCCAAAGCGCCAGCGGGTACAAATTTTTTTTCATGCATGTTGATAATGAATTTCGCGTTATTGTTTCTCATGATTCCTTCTGAACCTTAAATGACGTTATAATTTTGCAGAGGCGTCGCAAACTTTGTGAGTGCTGAGGTTTCAGTTAGACAAATTTTAACCCAAAATTTCATGCAGTTTAGATTGGTCTAAACTCTTGCCACCAAAGATGGCGTGTGATTCCTCATATTGCAAGAGCCTAAGCTAATTGGCAAGTAACATGTCATTTCAAGTATGCCAAGGGCGAAAATCAATATTGTGGGCAGGGGACACCTCGGCTTGCATAGATTAGTTAATGACTAGAAGTGGTTGTAGCACTGGATTATAGCAAGTACGTTCTGTAGTCGAATTTCCCATCGTTAAAACACTGCAAGATACGAACGCTTTGATAAGAATTCCTCACTCATATTTCACTACAAACAGCGAGCTCAACGTCGGTCAGCGGTCAATGAAATATTAGCCAATTTCTTCATTTGTCAATTGTTTTACATGTCGGAAATGTCGAATGCTAACGGTTTTGATTTTCGAGCTCACATTTGTGAAGACTATTTCTTAGAATTTCGTATTTAATTCAATGTACCTTAAAAGAGACATTATAGTATAAAATGGGGAGGGTGTGATTATATATTCGTCTCCCTCCTACTCCAAAAGTTGGGGGACCTGTCTCCCCATCCCCCCAGGTTGACGCCCTTGCAGGTATCAGTCGATATTAATTTATGTCAGTTTTCATTCAATTCTCTTTCCTCGGCTTTCACGTCATGTGTATAGTTCGTATCTTACCAGACTTACCCGTGTGAAAATACTTGTGTGTGTGAAGCTCATCCTTCCTCGCGAATGCCTTATTGCATTGGCCACATTTGTAAGGTTTTTCCCCGCTGTGAATTCTGGTATGCATTTTCAAAGCACGTGATGTGGTGAAGGTCAGAAGGCAGATATTGCATTGCAGAACGCGGGGCACTTGATTGAATCCTCCGAAAGGCGACACCTCGGATCTTCTCGGAAAGCCGCTAAAGTAGAATCCCGGGCTGCTTGGGTGGCTGTATGGTGTGGCATTGAAGAGTGTGGGCGGCGTTGGATACACGGTGAATAGCGAGGGCTGTGGGAAGAGCGGTAGGTGTGGCGCTGATTGTTCGTGCGTAGCGCAGTGCTTGTGGAAGTTCCCCAGCCACGTAAACTGTCTGTCACACACGTGGCATCTGTAAGGCTTTGACTCGATGTGAGCTAATTGATGTCGCTTCAGATCGCTGGCTCGGTTGAACGATCTTGTGCAAAGTTCGCAGTGAAAAGTGCAACTTGAGATCAGGCTCAACTCCGCGTTTGTCTCGACAGTTTGAAATGAGCTACCGCTGGTTTTATCTCTACTTTGTTCCTCGGGTACGTTGGAAACCTCACGGTGGAGGACTGGTAACAACTCATCTGAGCGCGGCTTTGTTTTCTCCACACACTCTTAACAAAGTAAATGAAATATTGCTGATTGCGCAACGCGCGAATAAAAAGTGCTTCATTGCGAAAGGTGCCTGAGGGTGGGGGGAGGGGGGGGGGGGGGGGGGGTTTGTAATGATCCAGTTTTGCAAATAATTATAAGCGAGTATTGTAACGATTTTCATACTTTCAAGGGGGGAAAGGATTTTTCATATCGGAGTCATGTCGTATCGAATATACTGAACAATCGAGTATGAGTGATGATAGTCGGTTTGTAGGAATATTGAAAGTTGATATGAAATTAGAAGGGGCTTGAAGCTCTGCCTATTTGAAAACTGGAACTCTTAATGATTTTGTAGTTTGAAGTTACACATTTGTAAATTTGGTTCGATCGCGACCACGCTGAGCCGACCATTTTGATTTATTTTATCGTCTAACTCCCATGTATATCGCGAAGCTAAGAGCCGTAGGGCGCCCAGTAAAAGCGCGAGATATTTTTTGTCTCATTGAAACTCATCGATACAGTAATCAGTTCATTTTGTTCCCGCCGGCCCCCAACAGGCTAGTGTGGCTCCACACCGCGCGTGCCATTCGCGTCAATGTTTAAAACACTACACGTTAATTAAATATTGTATTTCTCAGCTACCCTTCCTTTTTTAAATAGTACATTGTACATAGCCCCGGGAATAGAATACACTTCCCGCCGAAATCATTTCAGTCTTCAGACGAGGTCAGTTTTGAAGTTGACATGCTATCCCCAAATGCTCAACATTTTATAAAAGAAATTGCAACACCCAAAAGTTGCTGTGCCGTGTCCTTTGAGCATGCAGTTTTCACAGAATTTTTTGCTTCCTCATTGACATTGGGAAACATTGGGTTGCCACTGAAAAAGTATCATAATATTCGGACAATATCATTTATGTGAGATGACTAATTACCGATTCGCTTTCAAATTTACCGATTTCAATAATCACAACTGTCGTTTTATGAATCATGTGAATATTATCTACGGAATAAATTACAGCTTCTATCATCATTTCGAATCAGCGATTGTTCTAAAGCGGTCTTTGTTTACCAATTATTTGTTGCAACTTTGTAATTATTTTTCGTGTAAAATTATATCGTGTAGCAAAGGCGAATGGAGGACTGACAAGCGATATGAAACTTCAAAGCAAATATAACCTGCAAACGCGTCACAGCACTACACGACAGTCCAAATCTAACCAGTTGACATTTATGGCGTATAATAGCGTTGTTTTTCTTTAGGCTTTTACCGCGCTCGCGAAGCGTTTGTCAAAGTTCGTGCATCATTGGCGCTTTAAATTTCTTTGTCATGATGCGGTCAGCGATAAGTTGAAATGTCCTGCGCTGAATGCCTGCAGGTCTGAAACATCAGTTAAGTTTTCTGTTTAAAGTTTCTTTGAAAAGTTAATGAGTCCAGTTGAGTGTATATATATTCGCGCGTGGATCATGGATGCAGCAGGCGCGACACTTAAAAGCCAATTAAAATTAAGAGGAATTAAAACGTTTCAGCTCGCGATCGCGCTGATATGACTTATATTAGCACGTTTTTCCCGAGATATATATTTTCTATCCGTTCTTCCTTTAACGACATAACCGTGTGTTCAAAATGTTTTGTAGTTTTTCGCAGTCAAAATTAGGCACACCAATAACTGGCTTGAAACATATTGCACTCGTATGCATAACTGCAGATTCAAGGGTACGAAATGTTCTTTATCAAGTGGCTTAAAGAAATTGTGTAAAAATTAGCTCTAACTTGTCAAAAAATATGTAGCGGTAACTGATTCTCAGTATATAGCTATATGCATGCATGCATGCATGACTTTAGCAATTAGAAAAGAGATCGACAAAATTATATATCATTTTGATTCAACTATATCACTCTATATCACTACATGCATGTTATTCAACGAGTTAAGTGGCATTTGAGTTTAGCATGCGTTTAATTATCCGTATTTATATATTGGCTCATGCAGTATATTTGGATGTATATATAATATAATCAACAATTCGTTCAGCAGCGATGAAATTCCCTCGAAGGTCAGATTTCCAAACTTATTTGAAATTGATTTCACTCGTTATGAACAAATTATTCGCCGTAAACAAAATTATTAAAGCTTTATCAGGATAGAAAAATGATATATAGACATGCAACATGCATGGATCCATTCTATTTATCTATTCTATCGTCCATTTTATTTTTATAATAGTTTATGCGATAGTGCATCTTCTTATACAAAACGTTGTTTTGTTTGGTTTTTAGGTATAGACTATAGTGCATTGCAATTATATTGTGGGAGTGTTCATACCTTGGGAATGTGATTACATTTTAACAAGTCAGTACAAGTTTTTAGAATTTCGAATTCTGATGTGAACTTCGAATAACTGCGGTATAAGTCTTTGCAACTGAATAGATATTATTTTTTACCATAAACGTCCTACTAAGCGTTAAAATGAAACAAGGAAAGTCAGGAGATGGCAGAAGATGTTGATCTAAATGGCAGAAGTTATCTGAAACCAACTAACACATGTTATTAGGTATACAATAACTTTTTAGACTTTGAATTTTAAAATTCTAGAGTTTGAAGAGAAATGTCTGTAATCTCAACAGTATCTCTGGTTTTGAAACTTCCAGATCGAATCGGATCTTAGTCTTAGCCGAAACAGTTGCAACAATTAATAAAGGGAATGTATATAGAACAGTGCATGGCTTGTGCTACAACAGAAGCGGGAGATGTTTTTATCAAACCTTATAGCTCAAAATATTGCGCGTGGTACTTGTGCTAATCAATATCGAACGTCATGCATGCCCCATAAGCCCATATCTAGACGCATCACGGTTACTGTGAGTGCGATTGCTATATATAATCGTCAAAGATAAACTGCCTACGGTAAAAGACGTGCGAAATTTTGCAGGTGCAATTACTAATTATTTACCTAAACCTGTCTATTCTGATTCGGCTGATGCTTTTAAGATGTTTTAATAGCTACATAAGTCTTAAAGTGCATCCTTCTTTAGCCTTAAACTGATAATTATACGTCCTTCAATTTAGTAATGATATGTATTGCTAAATATGAATAAAACTATAGATATCGTTAGAATTATACCATGCACTAAGATGACACTACTTCTAGATGGATTTTGGGCAGTCTTGCATGACACATCGCGCGTTCACACTAAACTAGCAACCTGCTAATGCTCACTGGAAATTGACTGCGGCAATGTGTGTGAATTTTAAAACTTTTTGACAAGCTTAATTAGTATAAACTTTGTTGGCGTCTTTTATAAGAGGACTATATGTTTCTTTTTTTCGAAAGATTTTTACCTTTCTACTAAAATGCCTTTCAAACGGTTAGGGCGTGTCTAGGGGAGTAATCGTATCATCCCTAAGAATTCATTAAAAAACACGAGAGAATGCATGAGATCCTCAAAGCCAACGAAAGCGCCTGATGTCGCAGGTCAGAAAATCATGTCAATTTATGTATATCCGAGAACAGGTCAATAAGACAACAAAACGTTGCGTAAACACCTAGTACATTATCCTTCTTTATTCTTATTAACTTTCTCCCCATTTCTTTTCGATCGCTTTTTTCGAAAGCTCGATGAATTGCATCGCTTTAAATTGCATGCATATATACGTGTGCAAACAGCGCCAGAGAGATATCTTCGCTTTCGTGCAACTGCGGCTTAAAAAAACAACAATCCCAAGTGGAGAACATATGTTCACTCTCGTCTCGGATGCATCAGAATTTGCTATTCGAAATATATAACCTGTAGCGAGCAATGAATTTCCCCCTCTGACGCTTTCGACATCACGGCCAGTGATAACTCCAAATGGAAACCTTGCTTACTACAACATTCCTTCGTACAGTAATTTGTAATTTTTCATCGCCTTTTTAACGCTAGCGATTTGTTGTTGCAATTGGTTAACCAAAAACAATGACATAATCGGCCGTATCACATGCACCGGATTTTACTTTGTCCCTGCCAGACATCTTATCTAGATATAGAAGTATTTTACTAAAGCGATCTGAATAGCAAACAATATCGCGGTAACGCCTTCTTTATTACTTCACTACTAGAGAAGAACGACAATATCACTACCGCAACGAATTGCATGTAGGGCAAATATCGTGCGAGTTTTAACTTCGAAATTTATCCAGTTAGTTGTTATGTACAATCATGTACACTAATATGCATGTCTTTAGTTATAAGACGCTAAAAAGATTAGTTTCTTTGCGTTCGAATATATAGGGCTAGTGTATTTAATTGTTCGGATCAGGATGGTTGAAATTATGCTTATAGGTCGCCTTAAAGTTCTCAAAATGAGGCAAGATACGTTCAAACAATGTTTTAATAAAAAGTGACAATTCGAGTTATAAAATATTTAGTGCAACAAAGATTTAAACTTGTCTGACGTTTGGTAGAAAATTCACACTGCACTGTGTGATGTTAAATGGTTTCGTACATCAACGAAGATGATTCGAAGAATGGAACGTATATGCGAAAGTAGTATATTTAAACATTTCATAGCAGATCAGCCGTATATATGGCTATAGTGATATTTTATGGAGTGAAAAACAACGCGTCAAGATTTTCACATATACCACAAGTAATGTCTAAGATAAATTTAGGACAAAGTGCTTGACGACTATTTCGTCTGATCTCACCTTCGGGCCTCGCATCTGGAATATCTTCCTCGTCGTCGCTTATTGCGAGGATCTTTCGAATCAAAAACGATCGTGGCATTTTAACTTCGTCACTCGATAGACTTTCACCTTTCGACCACTTCGTGGGACAGTTAGCTATGTCTCGAATGTGAGCCCCCCAAATTTACTGCGACTTATAAACCCGCGTTCGTGCGTCAAAACGAGGCTGCAAACGTCACCCGCGCGAGTGGATAGACCTCCTATATGAATATAATTAGCCGCGCTTATTAACGAAAGTCGAAAACACCTGTCATTCGACCTCTTTTTTTCTTAATGCTCAAATTAGTCGTATATATAAAACGCCTGTTTGTATGCACGTTGATAAAACTATACAGCAATTTAAAAACCTGTTTAATTGGAAATAGACTAAACATGTTTGCCTTGTAGACTACAGAGCCGTGAAAACTGCGGATGTTATTTTGATGCGGCACTAATAAAACATATACAGGCAGTCTATACGTGGAAATCATTTTTACTGCTTACAGTAATCATTAAGTAGGCCGACTGCATGCTATGAATGTCAGTTATATTGCCGTTTTACAGTGCCAATGTAATAGAAAACTGATTGTATCCTTGCGCAACGGCTGTATGGGTGCATGGTATATTCGATCGGCAGATCTGCTGTGTGCGCTGATATTTGTACAATGATGAATCAAATGGCACAAAACTGTGAACAATCGTCGCGTATTCGCAGACAAATAGTAGTTAGTAGTGTTTTTTCGATATTCGCTGAGTTTATGCTTCGTTGTGAGGATCATGAAATAGGGTACTGCAGTGTTCAAATACGTGGCCTTTTTTATACATAGCCATCCTGCATTTGGCCATACAGGAAGGCCGGCAGATAAAACTGCAGGTCTTTAGTAATTTATTAATGCATGATTGTTTGTGCTTCAAACCGTGTATTGCTTTTTAGTTTCCGCCTTATTTGCGGCCCGCATACAATTATTTTGATAAACTTCAACATTTATCTGCTGACATTCGTAATTCGCAAAGCTGAAGTTTTGCAGGAAAGTATATACATTTCAAATCTTCTTAGCTATATTTTCAGTTAAACGATGTAACTTATTCTATAATCTCTAAATAATATTATGTACGTATATATACCGTTTTTTGGGCAAAGTGCGTGGAATCTCGTATACATGCTCGAAACTAGCAGTTAATAGCATGGCGAGGCAAATCATAGGAGAGTTCCAGAGTTATTGTCTTCATCAACAACCGTATATACTTCATAACAATTTCCTAGCTCGTGCAGTATTGCATGGTGATATTGATTTTGTCTTCTCCACGGGCTTCTAAATTATTTCCAAGCGTACTTGTAATCCAATGCCTTTGAATTTTTTTGGAAGGATGTAGCTATATGATGTGTTTTGAATTGATGACCGAGACTTGGCGACAGAGAGCTTTACAAGAAACTTTTACTTGAATGATATAACAACATGCAATTATTTCAGCATTCAGAATTATTTCAATTCATGTGCATGTTTGACTGGATCATAAGAACGGTCAGTTGTTCGTCTTCTGCTGTAAATCATGAGAAGTCACCCCAAACTTACCTATAGGCTATACGCGCCTAACCAACTCAACTAAACTCGAGTGAACTTAAGTAAATAAATAAAAGTATAAAATTATGTGTTAAAACTTCTCAGGGCAAACTAAGACTGACCAAAATCAATTACTATAGCCGAAATGACATTCATCTATTATAATTCACTCCGAAATATTTAGCCAGCTATATCTTAAGACTTGATGCAGTTATTTTAAGTAAGTTTTCTTGTATCTGGTAATATAGTGGCACGGTCTATATTAGGGGCAGACTAGAATTGTAGTACATAAAAGATTACGTGGAATAGAAAAATAAATAGTTTTTACCCGTCAGCGATAGTGCAAACAGCTAAAGACAGGCAAACAGACAATCAAGTCTGTCTGTCCAAGACTTAATTGAATGGCAATTGCCCACATTAATTCACGGATCCCTGGGGCCGGCTGTTATAGAAAGGTGTTGCAAAATTTAATCAATGAGAGTAATATTGCTTGCGTATATTTTTAAAATAATTTTTCACTCCGAAAATATGAAATTTATAAGAAGTCAATCCCTATAGCTTCTGACATCACGCATGCGTGCCGTTGATTCTATAATGGTTTTGTAACTTATTTTGTGCCTTTAACCATGGTTTAAAATGAATTAGTCTTGAGTTTTTTCACGACTCAAGAAAAGAACGGAGCATTTTTGGTAGACCATATTCCGCGTTTGTCTTTTAGACCGCGAGTGCTGCACAGCATCCGATGTAACATTTTCCTTGTTTGATCAATAGACTGGCACAGGCAGGTCGGTGGCAAACGTCACACATCTGCCGACTGTGCGAAATTATTCCGTACGCGTGTTTTACCGCAAGGCATGATGATTTCGAAAAAGCGCTCGAAATTGTATAAAACTATACAGATATTGAACAAACAATTGACTTAAGACTAACTTCAGCTAAAAAATACCAAGGTTTTGCCTAAATTATGCTAAACTTCGAGCAGTTTCAGAGCGACTCATAAAGATTAAAAACACGGCATGGGGAGAAGCGATGCCATGCACGAGCAATCCGAACTAGCTGTAGTGTTTTTTCTTCCAGGAAGTGCATTTTTTGTGAGCTAAAGAGCTTATTGTGGCAGACAGCGCGACATATTTGATCACGCAACCCAGGCTGAAACTTCACGAGGCAGAACATTTTTAGTCTTTTATTACACATGACATTTATTACACTGCGTTGTTGTTTTGGAGATAATGGTTAGCATGAAGAATTAGTCAGCATAATCGTGTCTTTACCATCAATTCGACTGGTCATCTAACAAAGAACAACAAAGTTTCGCACTATTCTTAAGCTTCAGTAACTCACTCATCTCTTTCTTCCCCTAACGCTACGTATATGTATAAATGGTTTATTTGGCTAAAGTGATAACTTGAAGTTATGTTTATATTTTAATTTCGTCCGTTTGCTAATTAAAACCGAATTGACATAAACATTTAGCACAATAAAACCGAATGTCTGCGTACGGGCCAAAATTATAGAAATTAATATCACAAGTGCCCGAAATCGTCTTGCAGTTTGTCGCGTTAATATCAAAGTTGCGTTTATTATCGGGCGAGAAATTTTGAAAGAAAGACAACGCGTTTCTTGTGTAAAAAATTTCGACGATAAGGATCAAGTAATCCATGTCAATGGGTGTCAATTATCTCCTAATTGAAAGTAGCAGTTTTTGAATGCGAATTCATATTGCGGATCACCACGGCTTTAATCTCGTTGTTTTTATTCGCCGGATGTCTAATCGCTGGCTAATTGGCCGTTGTGCGTGCGTGTGATAAATTATAGACTGCAAAACGTCTGTTGCAAATTAAAGATATATTTCTAGAAATCAGCTGCTTTGGGAAGCTGTATCGACGAGTGTTGCGTGTGCACGACGCGGCATGCACGCGGCACAACTCAAAGATGCAACTACTGAAAGCGCGTGTATTCTGAAAACAACAAGATCAGAAACAGACGGAAATCATAGTAAAATTAAAACGACTTAAAGAATTTCGATGCAGTTTTTAGTTAAAACAGCTGTCGTTTTATCCAGTTTTATAGTAAAGTTTATCTCGGTTAATTTTTTCAATAATCAGAAAGTTGCAAACTGTTCACAGAATGACGTCATAATCATCAACTTAGCCGAAATTTAAGCTTTTCTATAGACGTTTTCCACTAGGCTGTATTTTTCGGTCGAACCAAATTTGTCGCATAATTTTCTTCCTCAGCCGAATTCTCACAATTGAAAAGAAAATCGAGCGGAAAAACGTCCGAGTGATCGAAAAATCCCGTATTGCGAACATAAATTTTGCACGAATATAATCTCGTTTTTAAGCTCCAAGTTTTCGATCGGGCTGTCTCCACAGAAATTCTTTATGCTTCAGTATCAATTTTCCACATTTTCACAGCATCAAAATTAACATTTTCGTGAAGTAAAAAAGAAATTGCCCGTAATGGCGATCGAGCTTGCTGTAAAGTTTGAAATGAAATGCGTGAAAAATTCGGATATATATAATAAAAACTGCAATGTAACAACAACAATGGCATGATTTTAAATATCATTAAACACACGTGCACAAATGTTGTCCTTGGACAAAAAATCTGTTTCTAAATTGTACGGAGCCGCCTTCAGTTCCTACAGGAGTATTGTCGCCTATAGCTTCTCAAGCACATACGCTAGCTTGTTTATACGTTGTCGGGAATCGATCACTGGCGTATGATTCTAATGTAGTAACAATGAAAGAAGCAACGTGCATCGCAATTTGTAATTTTTTGTAATTTTTTTGGTGATGATAGCGTGACGCAAAAAGTCGCGGTAACCGATTTTAACTATATGCAGCCTGTGACAATAAAGGTGTATACATGAAGTAGCTCTGATTCGATTCAACTCATCGCGGGAGGATCGTTTTGTGTCAAGGTTTAGATCAATCAAGAAATTTTACCAGGTCGACATATTCCATATACGAATGATCTTTTTCGTGGTATATAATGTAACAATAGAGTTGATGTTCGCGGGCATAAATGTGTTTTTGGCCCGACTCTGAACTCATTTTAGCCCGAGCAAAAGGTAATTTTTAAAAAATTATGCGATGGGTAAACACTTTAGTCAATCCTCTGATTGGCTTAGATCAGCGAGCTAAAATATATTTCAGCCCGGCAAACTTATCATTTTAGCCCGCAAAATGATACACAGCAATGCCCGTCAATAATAACTGATTACACGCTCTCGTCAATTGTTAGTTAGACCTACCTTTGTTCCGATCATATATATTGATTTCTGTTATTGTAATTCCATGTATGATTCAAATCAGTAAAATTATTTACGACTACAAGTACATGTTGAACATGAGAAATCGCGAGAATTTTCTATTGCGCTCTAATAATATTGATATACTTCGGCAACAATCTGCATATCTGAGATCTCCATGGTCTCATAAAGATCTTTCCTCTATCGTTGTTATGTTGATTATCGCCTATATTATTAATAGAAACTATATTTGGGTAATTGAAAACTAATTCCGAGAAGTGAGAGCGATTCGTTGATTTTTAGTTGTTTCAACTTTTATATTTTTGTTGCTTAGAAAATACACTTGCGCCAGAGCCGATCGATGGATGACTATATAATTTTGACTTCCGATACAATATTAGGGCAATATCATATATTATACAATATCAGTTGATTTAATAGCGATATTTTATTCAATTTTAACCAGGTTTATTGGATATTCCATGCAATTCACTGAAAAGTTACGGGTGCAAATTGGTTGTTTTATCGGCCATTGTTCAAACAATTTGGCAAACCGTTATGTTAGCTATCCTTCTATATTTATAAAGATTTGCTTGCACATGGATGTCTTCAGCAATATATCTTTATTTCAATTGATAGATTAATTTTTTTATTCAAGGCATATGTGGCGACTGACTGACAAGTCTTTAAAAGCGATCTATATAATTGTATTATTTTTCCAACAACCGTTTGACATTTAACAAAGGTCTCTTTTGAAAGATTCTAAAGTGCTATTTCCGTGTGGTTAAGCGACAATGTATGCACCGCAGTCTAAGTGTCTGTATATACGCTATGCCGCTTTGTTTCATGAGCACCTTGAGTACACAGAAATCAGGATACTTTTGCCATGACTTTTGTGATCTTGTGGTTTGCTGACTAACTAATCGTGCCAATTACGGATTGCTGTATCTTGACTACAGCAAAATGTATCCATTCTCTTTGGTAATTGCACGATGAAGAGGCGGAGAATTACTTGCCTACGAGAAAAACTTTCGCGTTCTTGCAATGTATAATGAAAAAATTTGGCGCATGCACGTTAAAAGGATCATATCAATTGATGGCATTGAATTGGCTAACTGAGGAGGAAAGGCCGGTGCTTGCTACTTGCTAGCGTGCATGAGTGCCCATGATTTTTTGTTGATGCTTATGGTTTATCCTATATAGTTTATGGCTTTATATTTGATGTGTTGGGTTGGTATAACAGACGCTTTTCTTAAAAATATGATTACATCGTGAGAGGGAGTTTCCTTGATAAGCCTTGCCCCCTGCCCCTGGCTATAAATTACTATTGAAGTGTGTTGATTTTATCAATAATAATATATCGGTTGCACAAATCACAATTGCATGCCAGCAAGCCTACATTTCAATTTCTGCTCAATCGTTTCCTATAGTTCACACGATGCCAGTATACGAACTACTTCACAGTAGCAAAATGCAAGTCTCACAAACGTAACAAACTTTCCATGTACTTAAAACTCGATAAAACGAGTCTCCCTCCATTCCTCTACTTGCACACTACCATATATTAACGTTATCTACAAATAATCAAATAATGTACGAAAGTAATAAACTTACTATTGTAGCGGCAATAAAGTTATTATTAGCAAGCTTTAGCAGTGACTACGAGTACGAATACGAGATTCGTCATTCTCGTGCGTTGTTTGCTTACGCCATCAGTCAAAACTCGTAGTCGTTAGGCTTTCGAGTACGAAGTTTATCAAAAAACTCGTACTCAAAAGCCCGGCGACTACGAGTTTTGACTGATGGCGTAAGCAAACAACGCACGAGAATGACGAATCTCGTACTCGTAGTCGTACTCGTAGTCACTGCTAAAGCTCCCTAATTGCCGCTACGGCAAATAACTATACGTAAGGAGCTACTGCAACGAAATTTTCGCTCCCCGCTTTATTGGCTCAACTTCTCGCTTTCTTGTTATATTCACGTACAGCATGCATGTTATAGTTTTTCTTATATATTGCATGTATTTAATGGTGAAACTTTTCAATTTTAGTGTAACCCAACAGAGACATCGTGCAAGGTAGTGCTGTTTTGAGCTTTTTGATTATGTGAAATAACCAAGGTTTAAAAAGGCTTACATCTACATGTATATTTATCATTTCTTTTCCATTTTCAATCAAGCAAACCAGGCTTTAATACTGCATAAGGTAATGTAAGATTGAGATCATGGACTTGTTCCTCAGTTGCATGATCCTTCACATGCAAGGACAATATATACTTATTCTCCTGTCCATGGCCAAAATTTGGTTCTATTTGTCAAATCCAAGTTTGTAGGAGCAAATTATTCCAAAATACACTAAAAAGAGGTCTCTCCTGTTATCCTCTAAATATTTGGTTTCTGCAATCATGCATCATAGTCGTCATCGTCTTCTCCCTCTCGTTTCCTCTTCAGCGATGAAATCAAAGCCTGTTGTTGTAAGCTGCTCGCTACCGTTTCGTCCATACTTGGTAGAGCCGACACAGTTGTCATCGATTTATCGGGTCGAGGAGTTGTCGTCGTGGAAGTGGCACCTGCGACGTTTCCTTGCCAGGTCGCGGCGGGTTTGCCACCACTGACCTGTAAAAATAAGAATAGGTTGATGCTAATTATCACTCAAATACTTGGAATCTTATATACTGTATCGTTTGGGTTGGTGAAGTTTGATGAAGTGTTCAGGAGCACTTCTGAAAAAATGGACGCCTCAAATTTGGCAAAATTTTCAAACTTTGTTTACATCAATCATAAGAGAAATATCCCAGAGTAAAGAGTAAAGTATAACGGTGATTTTTTGTTTTTTATTAGCATGATAAGAATTAAAATCGTAATTTTTAAATTTTTTATAGGCTTTATAGCGATCTTTTCGGACATAATTTTGCACCAGCCTTTTATTTTATGCTTTTGCTAGTACTTTCGTTTAACTTTTCTATCCTTTTTAGTTTCCCCAGGGCTGTTAATTTGTGTGCAAGTACTGCTCCTCCATTTTGTTTATTTTGGCAAAATAATTGACTGTGTTGCAGTGCAATTGATGAAATAAATGAACTCATCTCGACCAATCAGTATCAAGTAATTTTAACATGCATGCCAATAAAAGGACACTTATTTGAAGAGAAAACTATTTTCGAGCGAAAGGTTGATCTCATTTAGAGCTGAAAACCTTTAATTATGATGTTACATGAAAGACGAATCTTCCGATCTCCCTGCGAGGCTTTTCTTGCGCAGACCAAACTCAGTGTGGCCGTAAATCGTTAATACATACCCGAGTAACTGTTGAAGTAGCTGTTGGAACAGCAGTGGTCAGGTTTGGGCTGGGTTTGTTGATGGCGTGGGTAATGCTCACAACAGGCTTGCTTGCACTTGCAGCTTGTGCGGTGAACGACGGTTGTACTGTTTTCACAGTCAACGAGGACGTCGGAGTTAGACTGGTCGCGGAAACACTCTTAACTGACGGCGACACGTTGAATATGGGTTGCGTGATTTTGATTCCCGGGGTAGGACTCGATATTGGGTAATGGGGAAGTGTCCGCGCAGGTACAATGGGTACTGGTCGGGCCTGCTGCTGTTGCTGAAAGCGGAATAAATTTAAAAAGTAAATTTTTACCATGTACAGTAATGCATGTGATTATTGCATGCAGCGATCATGACTTTAAGCTCCATTGTCGACAAGCTCATAGTTGTCTAATATTGGTCGATCTTACGTTGATCGATATAATGGCATTTTCAACATAGCCAAACAGGAATAATCATGAACTTTGACTCCAAATATCAGTTTTACCTTAGGTAAACCAAAATCACCTAATAAATTAAACACTATACCTAAATCCTACTAAAGCTACTCTTTTATAGTTTAAAAACTACGGTGACTCGAAAAATCGACAACACCTTTATTTATTAGTATTTTTTTTATTTTGTAAAATTTTCACGTCGTTCAATAAAATTTCCTTTGAAGTTGCTACTGGCACAAACGTAATAATTTTCGTCCCCATTTCCAATGGTGGTATTTGAAGCCGAAATTTGAAAGATGATAAGGATTCTACAGTAGATTTTGCAAGAAATAATGTTTAAGAGGAATACCAAATTACCACATAAGCTTTGATTGAAAAGTAGTCATCCATGGTCCCAGGTGGCATAGCTATAAGCTGTCGTACGGTTTATGTGTGAAACGCAACCATACTGTTGCACTAAAACCAAATTGATGTACAGTGTATTGGTTCAATACCTTCTTTTGCTGTTGTTTCACGCGGTAATTGTTGGACAGCAAACAATAGCGATCGGGAGGCAAACGTAAACCACTTCGTGGTTGAATAAGGGGTAGTGGTGTGCTGTTCTTTTGTCTTGCAATCTCCATTAAAAACTACAGCAGGAATTCAAAGTGTGTACATATTAATTCATTGCTTGAATATTAAAGTGAAGCATCAAATGTGGTACAAGTATTTGTTTTTCATTTTATGAAGTTAACTGTTATACCACATTGATGCACCCTGGTTATATTGAAACTGTGAAAGCAATAAGCAGTTAGAGGAGCAAGGAATGAGGATTATTAATTATTCAAGTCTTGGTTGAAGTCTATAGGGTACTTGGTAATACAACAGTATCATGTCAAAGAGAAATAGAAATATCCCAAAATAATTTTCATTAAAATGAAGTTGTTATTGCCCATTTGGTATTTGTCAAATGAGATATGTAAAATGGTCGGTGTATATGAAAGTTAAGGACACCTCAGTACCTTGCTAATAGCTTAAAATTACAAGTTTTAAACCTACATCTCTGGGTGGAGGACTAGTAAATGAATTATCCATTCTTATTTGAACAGCCAGTTTAATGTCATCTGCATCTATCTCTTTTTTATTGGCATGGTTACAATAAACCCTGGCATCTTCCAATACATCAGTAACATATCCTAGAAGTATAATTCAATGTAAATTACGCACAGGTGATCAGAATAGATTGATTCCAACAATATAATAGCATTGGCAACCATTGAACTTAGCCAGTCTAGTAAGACAGCATTTAAAGTAATTTTACTAAAAAGAACTAGTCAATGAGGTACTTTCATTTTTTGCAGCACTACACAAATTGATTGTGAATTAGGACAATAAGTTCCTGAATAAAAACTGTTATGTAATTTGCAGACAAAGCATGTCCCTGATTGGCCAACTGGTGTGTAATCTTTCTTCTTAAACTATATGTTGTAATGCAATTTCCTGACTTACTAGTCACCTTAACTACTTTGTCCCAACACATACTCTTTTTGAAGGCTTAAAAGGAATAGAGAGTAGGGCCACCCATGACTCAGCCAGTCATACTTAATATTTTCCTTATTTTTATGCAATTGAATTGACTAGCCATGGTGGCCATAGTAGTTTATTAGAACTGCCTGCCTTCATGATCATGCTGTTTCCATTGTTTCCATTCGAGGCATAAAAACAATTAATTAAATACATTTTTACTAACATATAACTGCACTCTGTAATATATTACACTAGCTTTTAACTGCTAATTTGCTATTATAGTCTATAGACTATAGGCAATAATATTGCCATTACAGCTTTCCCCGATGTACTTACGATAGGTAAACTCCAGCATCTGATTTATTACCCTAGGCTCATAGTCTTCTACTCCCATTTCTTTCAAAATCGCTTTCATTGCCCTAGCATCCCTGGGAGTGCTTTTTGCATTGTTATCCTTGTTCTCTGCCGATGTCTCACCGGACGCCATGTTGATCTTTAGACGAAATCGGGTAAAACGTAGCCTGCAAATCCCCGAATTCGGGCAAATAAAATGGAATATGGAGGACGAAGCAGAGAGGAAATTAGAGAACCGAAGTACAAAGGAAATATTGCTTGAGCTCCTAGACGAATTTGAGCGCTGTTCTGGGTGAGAAAATGAAAGATTTGCTAAATTTGTTGCTGCAAGTCATTGTATAGAAAATAACTTTGGCCAACTGAGCCAAATAGAGCCAACTGAGCCAAATAGAGCCAACTGAGCCATTTTACAATTTGGACTGTTGACTCTGTTGAGCATGTTCGAAGCTCTGGCCGTTAGATGATGATGGCAGCAGGCCAGTTATTGTTGCCCTAAGCAACTTAAGGGTGGTATCTTGCTATAGCTTACAGCCTTTCACTACTGTGATTACTCTCAATTTATTGGCATGGCACAGCTAAAATGGGTACCCATACCTGAATTTTATCCGTGCTTTGTCTTAGTACTAGTAGCCTGAGCGCAGGTGAAATGCAGTATGGCTACCTATTCTTGCTGTTCCGTGTTAACTAATTTAGTCTAATTAAGTTTAGTTTCAGCAGGGCTGAGTGCAAGGTTATATGCAAATTGTAAGCTTAACATTTGAAAATGGGCTCATGCTACTTACTTGACACATACTTGTAAAACTGTTACCAGTAAAGATAAAAAAATCTTAAGCACCTACCTTACTTATGAGGTGTGAATGAGGGTAACATATGTTCAGTTCAATGCATTATAATCACCCACTTTTTCATTGAAAGGAGAAAAAATTCTGTCCCTTGCTAGGTAGTGGGACAACATTTTGAGGGAGGGCATTTTGGGCCCCTGACTTAAGAAAGAACCTAAAATTACAGCAGCTTAAAAAGTGTTAGGCTCGGTGTATTATTCGCACACTAGTCGAAAGTACCAGTGACAGTCACCAGATTTTTATATCTAAGATACGTTGATATTGTTTGTAAAAAAGTTTGCCCGGGGCCCCACATTTTCGCTCGGCGGCCCTGCCCACACAGTACAGTTTTCTTGGAAATAAGTTGAAATAAATTTAGAAAATTGTATTTATATGATGCTGCATCTCTTATATTTCAGTGAGTTTTTTGAGGATGTTTCCAAAGTTGCCACCCAATATGTTCCACCAAAACAGCCAAATGAGCTGTTTCATTCGAAGGTGAGTCTGCCAACAGGGACATCATTAACAAAACATTTTTAAGGACTAAAATTTTGTGTAAAATACCAACCTCAGAAAACTAAATGTCTTACAGCTATCCAAAACACCCTATGTAATAGATGTAATAACTGTCATACTTGTACTTGTACTGCATATATGAAACTGTGAAGACTTCGTCAGCTTGTGTAAAACTCCTCACTCTGTTTTCCGTAGTTAAATCATAGTTAAATGCACCTTGCTGCAATGGTAATTCTGTAACAATGATATTTGAAGTTGGCCTTTAATATTACCAGCCCCACCTTTTCTTCGTTTTCAGCTAATCAGGCCTATTAAATCACTGCATGTGTGTTTACATTTGGCTACAGACCATTCAGAACGCGTAAAATGATGTTTTCGCATAGGTTTTTGGACATAATTTATAATGCAAGCATTTCAGTTTCTTATCAAAACACACGCCTGCCAGACTTTTTCCAATATTTTGTACTTTTGCCAGTATTTTCGTTTTCCTTTTTTTAGTTTCTCCTGAATGCAAATATCTTTTCGCTATTTTGTTAAATAACGAAATGACTGTACTGTATCTATATATATATATATGTAGCTCATCTGTGACCGTAGTTATACTCTACTCCTCTTGACCATGCAGTCAGCATCCAGTAATTTCATTTTGTTACTAATAGTAAGATAATTTATTTTATATTTTAGGCATTAGAAGGGTTGATTGAAAAACACAACCAGCTTCAAGATGTTGCTCAGAAAGGTAGTTACTTCTGACTTGCAACCGCACAGCAAAATTAATGAACAACATTATCTTTAAAGTAAATCATCAAATCATAGAAAGACCACGTATATTCTTTTATGTGCATGCAGAACTTTCGGTCATTTACCAGGGCCTTCACGAGTGTCTGACAGTGATGAAGTTGTACTGCCAATCACGAAAGCCGGGCTGACGGACCGAATGCTCTGCAGTCTGCATATATAAATCTGCGTGGTGATGCTACAAATTGATGATTGCACAATTTTAATAGTATAAAATTGGTGTTTATGACATGTTTTTCAACCCGACATTCGGCTGTATACTTTGCATGCATAAATCAAACAGCGGAAGCCGCGGAATATTTGTCAAAATTAACACTAAAATGACGCAAATTAATATCATTATGCTTGTCTTTCCAAATGAAGCCCAAGACCAGCAGAGTCGACATGTTGAGATCACGAAAGCGAAGGAAGAGTTGGGAAAGAAAAATCAGGAAATTTTACAACTTCACTCGTTGCTGAACGAAACAGAACAATTACTGGTATACATGTACACCTACGGAAACGTTTTATAATAAACATACTTGCAGTGAGGTGTGTCCGGGATTAACGCACCCTGGGAGGCTGAAGCTAGCTTACCTGCTCGGGGCCAATCAGAAAGCCGCTTTTACACAAGGCAGGATATAAGAATGTTTGCCATTTTGTCTTCTGGCTTTTCACGTCTTCCTGTACCAAATTTGCCAACTTTCTTTTTTAGTCCAATGCTTTATTCCAAGCAAGGAAGAAATTCACGGCGATCCAGACGGCGACGAAAAGTAAGACTTTGTGATGGTTTTCCACTAGGCTCGATTTTTCGACAAAACGAGAAGATCGAGATAAAATGTTCCATCGCAAAATTCGGTCTAGTGGAAAACTGCCCTAAAGCGAGCTCCTAGCTGCATCTTAAATTTCTAGATAAAATAACGTCTGAAGAATTGATCAAGTATGCTCACAGAATCAGTAGTAGTTGTGCTGTCGAGGCTCCATCGAACTGGACACCTGGTAAGTTTATTTCAAATAGTTACGTTTTATTGCAGCGATCGAGTCTTCGAACGATGTACTATATATAAGGGAAGGGAGCTCTGAGCTTAATCTGTGTGACAGGAATGCGCAAGAGAGAGATCCCAGCAATTTTTCCACAACTGAAATTTATTTTAAAATATGTGCCTCCTGTATTTTAAAGGAAGGCTATCGCAACATTCTGCATGGAATCTGCCTGGCATATATTTTAGGGGTTAGGTGTCAATTGGGACGAAAGTCCTGTTCCTTTCCCCTGTCACAGACACAGTATTGTCTGTCTTGTTGTGTGTACTTGTATATGTAGTTGTTTGTATTTTTTAAAATGTGACAAATTAGGGTGACAATGTGATTAATGCGACACAATTCGAACCAGAGCATGGCCATGGCATGTCTGCATCACGTAACCAATCCTCATCTGCACAACTGCAGCATCGCGCTTGAATGATTAACTTGCTGTATGCAAATTTGAAATAGTGTCACATTTACTTATCGAGGACAATGCTCTGTGGAGGAGGTAGAGGACAATAGTTCGTGTGAAATGGTAATAAAACTAATCAGGTTAAGCCTTTGATGTGATGCGCTTTTTACTTCGCCTAGCCGTGATAACTTCATGGATAACTCGCTCCATGTAAACAGGCTCTCACTCGGCTCAGAGATTTGGAATTAAGGCATTATCTCATTGTTTTAAAGTCATTAGTTCTTGTCGAATACGCTACGAAATACGCTACGAAATACGCTACGATATGGTTGAAGCGCAAAACAGGCCTTACACCGTCCTAATTCAATGTCATGTCACAAAGAAGTACAACAGGGCACTCATTCCAAATTGAAAATGTGCAAAAGACAAAGCAAGAAAATTTTCTTTTAAAATTATTTTGTTTTGTCTTGTGTTTATGCCGATGCTTGCGTTGCCCGTTTTATTGCATCTATCGTTTTGCCCTGTACCACAGTGACTGCTAGTTCCAACCTTGACACCTTTGTCTGTCGATTGCAATACATATTATAGTTTACATTGTGGCTGTATCAAAACCAAAATGTTTTTAAATTTAGAAGCTCTACTCGTTTAGGCTTCCATATTCATTTATTCAATTTTTGCATGACTGATTTCTTCGACAGCGATTATTTATTTCCGTCAGGCATGAATATTTTAATATTCAGGTAGCGTCTTGTTTCGATTTCTCTTCAAATATTTGGTTTTTGCCCGTGGCCTTTCGGTTGGGTATGACTGGAAATATTCGAGAAAGCGATCCACGGAATGAAAATCAGTCTAAGAGTTCTATTTTATGAGAGAGGAAATTTTGTCTCATAGACTCAACTATTTTTTTTTTAAATATGTGCACTCAAGTCTGTATTTTAAAAGAAGCGATCGCAAGAAGTTGATCGCGCGACATTTTGCACTGGAAATCCGCTTTAAAGCAGGCATGCCGCTATCATATATGACATATTGACCTATAGGTCTAGGACATCTGAGGACCGTGCAGAAATATTAATTAATAAACCAACCTCGAGTGCACAACTGTTACTTCACGCTTGAATAATTAACTTCGCTGTATGCAAATTTGAAAAGTGTCACATTACTATATTCGTTTGGTTTATTCACCAGCTTTATGTGAACAATATTACACGTTTTGATTCAACCAAACGATCCAAAATGGATCTCCGGGCTAAACTCAAACAGCTTTCACAATTTACACGGCGCTCAAGAGCGAGTTCTGAGACGAGGGCAAGGCAAAGTTCGGATGATGTAAAGTACAAACCTATCGATAACACAACAGACAACGATGCTTCAGATGTGAACGGTGATCTTTTCAAATCACGTTCAATCGACGACATTCTAGATGATATAGGTTTGAGGTTCTTTCATTTCAAAGCATTTGTGATACTAGGGTTGCTGAATATGACTGATTCACTCGAATTGTCTATGTTGTCGGTCATACTTCCAAATTTAAAATCGATGTGGAATATCTCGTCGTTGCTGACCGGCATATTGACATTCGCGTTGTCAGCTGGACTGGTGGTAGGATCTCCGTTATGGGGCTGGGTCACGGATACGTACGGCAGAAAGAGAGGATTTATCGGTAGTTCAACCTTCATCATCGTTTTCGCAATCGCAAGCGCGTTCTCATTCAATTATTACTGGCTATGGATGAGCCTTTTTTTTGTTGGGTTTGGTGTGGCCGCCGTCTCGCAGATATACGTTATGAGCATGGAATTATTTCCGCCCAAATACCGGTCGATATTTTCGACGCTAAATTCCGTTTTCTGGACATTGGGCTTTCTGATTTCATCGCTTGTCTCGATTAAACTATCGGTGATCGGTTATCGCTGGGCGCTAGCTATCGTGTGTTTCCCGACCGCTATTTTCCTTGTATGCGTTCTTTTTCTCCCAGACTCGCCACACTATCACCTGGCAGCCGGAAATGAGCAGAAAGCTCTGGACGTTCTGCAGGATTTTGCGCCCGAAATGGACTTGAGTTGCACGACGCTCAGCCATGGTCCCGAGTTAAAAAGGGCGGATATCACCCGGCTATTCCGGTCGGGTTATTGGAAGATAACAACGTGCCTTTTTGTCCTTGCTTTTACCAGTATGACGACGTATTACGCTTTCGTATTCACCGCGTCTGATATGGCGAACGTTTTGAATAATGCGAACATGACTATTGGCGCAAAAAACACTGAAATCGTGTATTATTCCAGCGGTTATTTTTACTCGATAATGGCTTGGATGAATTTGCCCGAATTGGCGATTTTGTTTATAACTGCACTAGGATGTCACATTTTTTCTGTAAAATATGTGGTGCTCGCGCTATTCGCCCTCGCAATTATGTTACAGATCGTTGCCTTGTTTCTCGTTAGCCAACGGACTGCATTACTTATTGTCACGATGTTATCTCGAAGTCTGCTTATGTCGGAAACCACTGCTTTGTTTATATATGCTTCGCTCCTATACCCAACAGAAAACCGTGGGATTGGTGTTGGAACTTGCCTATCTGGTGGTCGTATGGGCACACTTGTAGGACCTTTTATATTCGAGACACTGTTTGAGCGAGCATATCACAATGGAATTGTTTTTAGCATTGGTATCTTACTATTAGGCTCTATAGCAACTGCATTATTGCCGTCGCATAGCGCTACACTGAGTTAAAACTCATCATCGTTTATTTCCCATTTACACTACACTCCAATTACACCACACTCAATTTATTGGCACGGCACGGCTAAAATTGGTACCCGTACCCAATTGTTTCAAGCTACCAAAAAAAAAGGCCGAGCACGACACCGCGGAAATTGGTATAGACTTAGTCGCAATTCTCAATACTTAGACTTCAAACTTGGTGAGAAAAAAGTTTATAAATATTCAAGAAAATAGATTTGAATCTTGTACACGGTAAAAACGAATTGTCTGAATTTATAACTTTAAGCCTCAAAATGGTCGTTTCACATGCAGCGGTCAGATGTGTATGATGAGCTGGGTACCCTAAAATGGGTACCCGTGCCCATTTCATCCGTTTTGGTAGCCTGAGCGCTAATAATTTTGGGCACGGGTATCCATTTTAGCCGTGCCGTGCCAAATGAATTGAGTGTAGTGTAAACGGGGCTTAGATGTGCCTTAATTTTTGCGCACATTTAATTTCATATAATATATCTATTCCTAATTATACTTATTCAGGTACCTACAACCCCAGTGTGTTGTGCGCATTTATCTATTTTATTTATGTATTCATAATTATATACTTATTTTATAATTATACTTATAACTCTATTTCAACTGGAACGATATTTAGAATAGAATTAGACTGGAAATGTGTCCCTGACGGTTATTTGGTAGCAATCTTTGAAGTCAATTTGAAGCCGAACTCGGGATCGGTACTTCAGTGCTATAAAGATGACAGCACATGCAGATATCGCTCCAAACTTAAAATCTGACAACGTTAATATATGCATACAATTGTTACCCTTGTCGCTGTTCTTTTATGCCAATGAGTACAACACACAGGATATATAGAAATGCACTCCAAAGTTCTTTTAATTATTACAAAATATCTGACTTCGTCTTAATCAAAGGAAGGCTTGTTTTTCGCTTCTAGAGCCTATCACACAAAACTAGCGTCTACACGCAGTCGCACACACATGTGTTCTTCTATATCATCTATCATATATCTCATGCCTTTTCGTCTCTTCATCAACATTCAATATTTCCGGTTCGAAACCCTAGCATCAAGACCTAACACAATATCAACGGTTACACATTAAAATAAGCATAATTACTATTACTAAATACTGATATTACTCAATATTATATTCGTACAGTCATAATTTGTACCCCCCGTCCACTTTTCCCGGTAAATCTAAGATAGTCTCAAAAGTGATATCTGGGACTGGCGGGCTCCATGACTGGCGGCATCCTTTCAATCCATGGCGATGTTATATACTTATTCCGCATAAATCATTTACAACATTACTGAAGAATGTAATTTAAAAATAGTGTTGGCTTGAGTAAAATGAGCTTATTTCTGCTCATAATGAGTGAGTATATTGTTTCGTAAAGTTCTTCTATTCCAAGGACGGCGGAAGATCGTTAGGTGGCGGGGTGAGGGGGGGGGGGTTGGGGTGAGTCTAATATTCATATATTCATGTTAGCAGACCGTAAAAACAATTAATTTCAAAAGGTATTAACGTTCTAACGGATCCTAAGGCTCACATCAGTACGATAGCACACCAGCACTTACACTATATTTTTTGCCCGCTGCCGATCGGTAGGGATGGAGGCGGTATCCGAGCGAAACGATCGGGCTAGGGGTGAAACGGTGTTTCTTTTGAGTTTGCTGTTTTCGGCGCAGATAATAACTCAACGAACCATGCTATTTTAACGGTACCTCCTCCATCCCGTGATCAGCTGTCACACGTGAGTCACTGAAGTGAAACCGTGGAATAAACGATACGAACATCAAAGTACACACACACACAAAAAAAATACCTGTAAATGTGGCGATCATTATTGAATTTACCTTTACCCCAAACACCAATTCCACGACCAAAACGGGTGTGAAAAGAACTGTGCTTAATCCTGCAAAACAAACTAACAAAAAAAACAAACCCCAGCGAGATTAATAAGACGCTTCTCCCGTAGAGTTCACAACATCGCGTGAAGTCGTTAGGGAAACGGGAGGGATGGGTCACGCAAGCAACTAACAACTCGATCAGGCAAACTGGGCTCATATTTATACTCACCGGAGGGGGCAAGTAGCCGACCGGACAAGCGTCCTAAGACCCGAAACACTACGATACGAAGACCCGTATAACATTAACTTCCTTTATTATTTAATAATAAATACATTTAATAATGAATATTATCTTCCGCCGTCCTTGATTGGTCGAATTTTTCATTGCTTCATTTTATTAAACGAAATCTATCAATTTCCGGTTGATTGGACGGCTATACTACTATATTAAGCACGTCACACAAGTAAATTATAGTTGTTGATGAACAAGGTGGAATTTCGTTTGAAACTAACTAGAAAGTAAAGTCTGATGTCGTTAAATCACTTCTTGTGGTTTCGGAAGCGTTCTTTGAAGGTTGTCGAGAAGACACTTGTTTTCGAATGGGCATTGATCAGGATTTCTGCAGTTGCATTTCTTTTGGTTCCGGTTATTCTTTTGTTCAGTCCGATCTTTTCGAAAAACCTGTTTGTTATGTTTCGAAATAATGCTTTTCACGTTGTTTAGACAGCAGTAGCTAACTTTAATGGAGTTACGGTTGAAAAATTTGTGAAGGGTGGATGTTGGAGGAAAATGTTTATCGACTAGCTTAAGGAAATCTTTCCCAACATTCGCACGTACGTTTTTACTGAATGGAGGGTTGAACCAGATGTGTTTCTACCTCGCTTGCATCTTTTTGGTGCATGTTGATAATGGTGCATATGGTTGTGTTGATTCTTTGTGGTAACGAATTTCGATATTATAGTTGCTTTCCTTCAGAGCTTTGCTGTAAATAGCGGCAACCGAGTTAAATGCTTGTTGGTTGGATGACAGCGATAAAATCCTTCGACTGATGGATAAAGATAGTTGTTTGGTAATACACGGGGGAGGATTTGACTTTTTATGGATATACAGCGGGCGTTGTTTGGTTTTCGGAAAGGCTTCAAACACTCAGTTTTGAGGTTCAGAGTAACGTCGAGAAAATTAACGGTTTGGTGGTTGACTTCGGCAGTGATTTTAAGTCCAAATTCTTGGTAGGCCTAGACGTCCATCTGCTAGACGTCTATTGTTGCTTTTGATTAAAGTTAGCCCGTGGTCTCTGTATAATCCGATATTATTCTTTCCGAATTTCAAACTGAGGGAATTTAGTGCAAAAATAGTTATATCGCGCTTATATAGTTATAGTTCCTGTGCAAACTGCGACGTTTCAACGCACCCATACACGACCACGTTTTGTTAAACGGCGAAAAAGCAGCGATATTATTAAAATAGGACCAGAATCTACATGTATTAAATATATTCTTACCCCAATTAAATCTAAATTTAATGGTTTATTTGTTCCTCTTGGAGGAATTTGCCGTATCATGCGAGCGAAATCAAATCGCGCATTGGAAAATTAGCCAATGATTTCGAGCTGATTTGCTGATTTGTCCCTTAAATCAAAAGTTGGTCTATTATGCAAATATTATAGCCAAATATTATCTCTTTTTTTGTTTTACAATACAATTTATTGATTTATCACAATACTTGGTAAATAGTACAATTTGAAATTATTAGAACTTAGCGTAATTTAAAATTCACATTTTGTATCCTGAATGGTGATTGGCTATAGTTGTATATACTGGAGTGATTTTTATTGGCTGTAAGCAAGAGCGCAATTACAACTGGCAAATGGTGCAATTAACTCCTCTTATCCAATGAAATTGCAGCATTTGCTAAATATTACAGAAGATGTATAATATATAATTAATTGAATATCGATAATTAAGACGATACATAGAATATTGATAACAGTTTCTTTACTTGAACAAGCCAAATTTTCATTTCCTTTGGTGATTAAAATCCATGCCCTAACAAAAATACCTCCTGAACTCATTCAAAACTTCTGTGTGAAAGTTGTGCGAAAAACGTCTGTTACATACTTAAATTTTTGGGTCTATCAAAACTCTTTGTAGGTGATCCACGACGTCCATATCCACTCGACATTGAGATGCGCTCTGGATTGTTGGGCAAAATGCAAGAGCGGCATGTTCCTGGGTCGCAACCGATGGAACAAAATATTACCACGAATCCGACATCATCCGAACTTGACAGGGCTTCACCTTCGCTTCCGCAGAATGGAGAACAGGATGTTTCGGGTAAATAATGTTTTTATTATTTTAACTGTACGAATGTCCTTGTTTTAATGAAATCTATATTTTCAAACTGGTGAAGCGACATGCATTTTGTGGCGTGTATTATGCTGCATGGCTTCAATATGTAGGTAACTGCGAATAGTTGTGACCTCTGACTGAGTTAAACTACATGCATTTACTCAGCAATTCACTCCTGTGTGCATTGTGTACCATAAAGCGGCGCTCAATTACCAATATGTTCCATTCATTTTGAATTCAACTTCAGTTGTGTCCTGCATTCTTATGAGTTGCAATGTCTAATTGACATTAAATGAGACGAATCCCATCTTCAGCAGTGCAGTTTCACAACAGTAAGTTGTGAAATAGTAATGTTGATTGAACGGAATGCATGTAATTTCTCACGCGAATTGCAAATGTCATGGTCAAACCTCGACGTTTGTTGCCATGATACATATGGGATTATATCGTATCTCTATTAATAGCAAGTATAAAAACCCACACAGACCGGACGCGATATGGCAATGCGCGCAAAATTTTAGGTTTCTAGAAGCTTAAAAAATTATTCTATATTGTTATATTTTTCAAGATTTATATAGGTTGGATTTCCGCTTGCAGAGAAATGGTTCGCTAACGAAATATTTTCATGCATATTTTCTTTATGACGTTTCGACTCATAATTTGCTGAATTCGCTAAATCAGTTTATTGCCTTTTGAAACTGAAAATTCCCGTAGCGTTGCCGAATCACATCCGCTGTGTGGACGTTAACGCCCTTGTTTCCACGAAACATATTATATAAATATTGAAATGGGTATAAAAACGTGGTAATTGCACTCAGTAGCGTAGCCAGCCTGACGATTTGTCCCGCCATGCTAATACAGGGTGTCCCAAAAAAAAGTCCCCCCTATTGAAATGAAGCCTTTGTTGATTTGAATGCATGATCAACGCAGTAGTGTGTAAATAGCATAGTTATTAGGTTGAGGCATTCAAATAAAGCGTCTTGCTTTCAATTGGGTTTATCATAATAATAAGGCAATCAGATTCTAACAAAGGCTTGATTTCAATAGAGGGGACTTTTTTTTGGGACACCCTGTATTTTGGTGTTCACTGACTGTGAAAACAATACATTTCTAAAGAAATGAATAATTATGATAACTCGAAATTTACATAGCGGGACAAAATCGTCAGGCTGGCTACGCCACTGATTGCACTTCGCGGCGTGCAGTCTAGCCGTGATATTAAATATGTGCTTATAACAGTTCACCCGGGAAATTTTGTAATCATCTGTTTCATTTCAAACCAAACTATATTTTGCATGTTAATACGTACTACGTATCATTAATTCTAGTCTACTTTACATGTTTGGAGAACTTTTTATATTCTTTGCTTGATTGCATGCTTAGATGTTGGAGGGACAACTTGGCGGTCGGCGTTGAATTCCGCACAAAGTGAGGTATGTTTATTATGTCGTTTTTTATGACCAAATGAGTTGGTTTATGTGCGATTATTTTATTATAATGTAACACCCATTTCATTAATAATTTTCACACCACTTTCGAGAATACTGCAAAGTATACCCTGCTTCGAAGTTATATATTTGTGACTGGAGTCTTTATAGCCCCAATTTTACTTTTTGGTAAACGAATTTAATGCTCCATATTATATTTCATAGACGAACACCGTAGGACAGTCAAGTTTTTTAGACACCGGTATGCACATTGATATTTCTAATGGATTGATGGGAACCACCCGCGATGAACTTGAACAAATGAGTACATCGTCATCATCTACATCTAGTGACAGTCCTTGATCTAATGCCACCAATGGACAAACCCATTACCTATATAGACATCCGCATGCTATATTATACATATAGTCATTCTTTCATGTATAAAACCCATTACCTATATAGACATCCGCATGCTGTATTATATATAGTCATTCTTTTAAACATACGCGGCACGTTCATATGCTTGGGAATCTGCCGTTATAATACGAACTTATGACAGATTAAATCTTTTACATCTGTCGAAGAGATGCAGATGCTAATTTTATGTTACCTAACTTTATAGCTACTAAATTTATTTTTTACTTCAGCTGATAATATAACAACAGAAGATATGTTTCGATGATCTGCAAACATCGAGTCTTATGTTTGGCTAAGGCAATTAGAAATATCTTTAAGAAAATAACTGTGGCCCCATGTTAGATCCTTGAGGAATGCCACTTTTTCAACAAAACTTGTTGCTTTAACAGTATACGTGCCTCACTCGTCTGCTATAGGTAGGATTGGAATAACCTATAAGTTCGTTTACTTTAATTTCTTCGAGTTTTAACTTTCCCTACGCGGGATTTATGCACGGGTATAACCGTGTCAAATGCTTTTCTCAGGTCAAGGTATAAAACTCAAGGTATAAAAAATGTATTCATTAAGCGTCTGACAGTTATTATTATGTACCTATCCATCGGTCATTAGGGAGCAGTATCTGTGGAATTTGTGAAGATTTTCGTACTACATGTGGTTCAGGAAGTCTACTCTATATCCACACTCATTTTAAAGATAAATTGTTTCGTCATTTTTTGTTAAAAATTGGTAAAACAAATTAAATTTGGACTATAATTTATATGATTCTGGATCAAGCTTTTTTACCCACTGAGTGCAGGATATTGATCCTCAATACAAACATTTTTTTTACTGTCTAGCGACAACTTTTTCTAAATTAATTTTTTTGAAATAGAAGTTTCGATGCTCTAGTTGCTATAAACAAGTTTTTTCTACTAGTTAAATTTGTTAACACTCGCCCTTAATCGCGTCAAGTGCTTGGAAATTACAATTTCTTGAACTTCCTGCCTATATAGATACACTCCTTAAATATGTAGTTCTGAAAATGCATGTTTCTTGGAACGCTCGAAATATACGGGGTGTATCAACAAAGAAATACCCCGTGTTAAAATATGTGGAATTTAGCCAGTTGAATGCCTTTATTATTTTGCTAAACCCGCGGATTCGTAAAATTTTCATCGTCAGCAGTCACTATACATAATAATACATCGACTGCGACTATCGGTGATTAATGTCAACCTGTCTATACAGAGTGTCCCGAAATAAGGTATCCTTAACAACGCGATATATTGTAAAGGCACACAAAAAAATCACCTGCTGCATCTGTACCTAGTTACTATACCTTCGTATAAACGTTCGCGACTAACCTATACTAGTCAGGTTGAAGCATGTACAAACCTAGCGCTTTTCCGCATTGCTTAAAAGTTAGTTTGGTTGGATCGTCAAATTTTGTACTTTTTCATCATGCGCCAAATTTTTTTAAATTATGTAATAATAATCAGGGAAAATATATTTTCGTTTTATGTCCAATAAACCTAAACGGGATAATGATATCATATACTGAGTTTGTTTATTAAGCAAAGATCAGTTGCTTTGCGGAACCAAGGCAACATAATAAGCTGTTAAAACAAGAGGAAGCAACTGATATTAACGAGGAAGTAAGAATATATGAGATCGCAAACATTGAGTACAGATTTACATACTTATAGCATGCGGTAAATTGTTTAATACATACCAAGCATTTGAGTACCCAAATATACTTTGAGTACACAAATATGTACTGAGTGATAGTGAAACATTTTCCTAGAACTGTGATTTAACCTTTTCGGTTTCCATACAGCGAATTTTCTGGCAGGGAAGTTATGTTGCAAAACAAAAAAGATTTAACAAAAATATAGAAGATCAATACAAATACACTCACATAGAGCAGTATATATATATATATATATATATATATATATATATATATATATATATATATAATATATATATATATATATTATATTAATATATATAATATATATATATATATATTAAACATATTTTAAAAAACAATTGTTGAATAGAACTAATTACTTTGACTTTGTGCACGGCTATTATTTGATAATGTCCTGCTTATATATTTACTCATACTGCTATTTCTATAGGCATTTCATTCATAACAAAGTTGTCAGACACTCACGAGTGTCTTTGGAAATATATTTTCAGGCTATATAGATCTGTGGTCTCCTAGGTTTTTTACGACTAAATAAGGCCTGTTTCAGACGTCGAACTTTTCATGTTCCGAGTAGAATGCCAATTTATTTGAATGCAAATCAAAGACTTTAACCCATTAACATTAGATTCGGCACATGAAAAGTTCGACGTCTGAAAGCTTCTAAGGAACAACTATGTTACGGTGAGTATACATAGAGATACAGCCGACGTCTAACTTATATAGGTCTACTGGTAAATAAGTATATTCGTGATGTTTCACTAAATCATTCTCGCTATTGCGAGATTATATTTGTTCAATATTAGCATAATAGAATCATAATTTTGTCGAAATCTTTCAGATTTATGCGTGATTATAGTTTTGCGTAAAATACAGTTCTGCCAGACATTATCGGTTATTTTGTACTTCTGGAAGACTTCTTCGTTTACCTCTGGTATTTTTTAGTATACTGCAGTTCAGTTAGTGAAATAACTGTACTCCTCTAGACCAGTCAGCATCCAGTAATTTTATCATGCTTATAATAGCAATGCATGCATGGTAATTATATAAATTTGACAAAGTTTAGACAATTTATAAATTTGACAAAGTTACCAAAATGCTAATTAAGCAAGCTGGTTTATTTAAGGGGTTGCATAGTTTGTTATAGAGTTTCCAAGAAATGTTGTTATGTATATAGAACAAGATTATATGATATCTGTGATGGATATAATTGTTCGTGTCATTAGGGTTATATTTCCACATTTTCCTATAGTGAAGTTTTAGATAAATAGCATCGCAACAATGGGCGACTTGCGCTTTAGACTAATTTTTGATAAGAGTAACAAGAAGGAAATAAATCATGACAGCTAGAAAGAGCATACTTAAATTAGTGCAAATTCAAAGTTTGCGAAATTCTGTAAATTGCAGCAAATATATAGCCATGCGAAGTTGGCTTGTTCTATATACTTTTGCGTGTATTAGGTGCGGAAATGTGTAACTTGTTTAGTATACAAAATTAGTCGACTTCCCTTGGCTATATTTTGGGTAATTTACAACGATTCGCAGCCAAACTTGTCAGTTTTACTAATTTTAATAAGCTCTTTCAGAAAATTTCATTTTTATCGCAGTCTAAAAGATTTAATCTAAAGCGCAAGTAGAAGTCTGAACCTCTCAACTGGTTTACATAAGTCAGTTTTCGATGGGTGAAGCGTTTAAAAAATTTCTCACCAACAATTTTTTATACATATAAAGATATAATTATAGCGATGTACCATTTGTTATTTTAATATGACATTTTGAAGTATAATACGCTTCCTTTTTTGTGGCAGTGTGAGACAGGTTGCGCGTGTTAAGGTTAACATAAGGATGATACCAGTTATCCATATGACAAAGCAATAAATCTTCAGCAAATCCTCAGCGTTGAGATAACGTAAAGGTTATGGGTCACCAAAATTAGCAAGTCAAGTTTTAGATAATAGCGATATTGAGATATTTAAGTGGTTATCGTTATCGTTTACTATTTATGTCACACAGTTTCCTTTGAAAACTTTGGTTTTCACTAATTCCTTATATGGGAACATCTATTTGATTGTCACGAACGTTCATATGTAAAAGCTTTTTGCACAGTTTCCAACCTTTGTTGCGTAGTGGTGGATTTGCCCAGAAGAAAATAAATGAATTCACTGTGGAGTTCATTAAGATCAACGTGAGTGTCCAAATTTTAGCATGAGCTACGCCCTCAAGAGCCTCAACCCTGCCGCTAAACGCGGCTAGAACTAACGCGTTTGGCAGGTTAAAAAAAACTGTTGAAAAGACAACAATTACGCACATTTTTGCGAGGTGTAAATCGTGAGAAAAAGGGACTGATTTCAGCGGTCGGATAAAGTAGCGTGGCTCAACTGGATTTAGCGTCGATGAACGTAACCGCGAATTCCGACTTTTCTTTGCTTTTCGATAGATTGACAAATATATGAAGAAAATTCCTCCCAGGGCGAACACTGTAATGGCTGTGACGAAAAATTGGATGTCCATGCCAAATATTGGGGCGATTGCTGTTCCTATGCTGATGAGCCACAGGCAAGCACAGAGCATGAAGCATCTCTTATTGGTCACGTGTCCCATGTGATAAAACGGTCGGCATATTGATAGGTACCTTTCGATATTCATCACAACAAACGTGAGATATGACATTCCTGATAACATGACGGCCGAGGTTTGGTAAACCATTTTGTAAAGACATTTCGAATTCTGAGTTACCTCGGCCATCGCATTCATCACAAATAGTGGATGAACTATTATTGTCACGCACATGTCATTGCAAGATAAAAGCATTATCATAAAATAGGATACCTTGTTTCGAAGACACGGAGATTTCCAGAAAACCGCCACGACCAGAGCATTCATGAATGTTCCGAGAATAGCTAAGATGGCGTTCACCAGACAACCGCATGCGCTGTTTATGATATACGACGTCGTCGGCCTAAGAACGGTGTAAGTCTGGAAACAAAATTCAGTCACCTGCCCACTCGAAGAAACATTGTTTGCCATTGTAGATTTTGGTTCTGTCGTGTCGATTGAAGTCAGATAACAGGTCTATATGACTGCTTCTGTGTTATATCATCCAAAAACATGTTATTATCTCGTTATATATAATGTTCACGTAACTCTCATTAGAGCTACTACATACACTAATCAGCTATCCTACAGTCTGATTGGCTGAGCTTACGTATATATCGGCTTGTTTATGGTGGGTGGCAAAACACAATGGTCAGTTGTTTTGCTCTTTCTGTAAGCCGAGGACAAACATCTAAAAAACGCTTCCGGAGATCACAGCGCCAAGAGAAACATACCAAATCAACAAGATTTTGGAAGGAAATAGAACTGGTAAGTAAAACTGACGAAACAGGTTTTACTTTGTTGAAGTAGGCTTTGAATTGAAATACATACATGCGTCACCTGTCTTGTGCCTTGCCCCATGACCATGTGAACTTTCGATCGAAGCATGCATGTGTTCGCCGGAAAGGTGAAAGGGGCGACATCGGGTATGACAAGTTCAATGTTTTTCTTTTGTTTCCAAAACATCCGAATTGCTTTTTATAGATCTATTGTACCAGATTAGCGTGAGTCAAACGGGGACGATATGTGAATGTAACGACCATATCCATGGCCTTGAAATGCGAACATACGATGGCATCACGAAGGCAAATGGCTATTATAGATTGAGGTATATTTTCCATGAACAACGTTTTGTAAAAGCTACAAAATAACAAGTACTTCGATAAACAACAGATTGTTTGTAAGTTGGGCAAAGCCAACTCGAATAATAGCCATAAACATGCCCTTGGAATTTAATAAATCGCAAATGCCGTCTTAATCTTTCAGTTGCATGGTAGCGCGTTGAAGATTTTTCCTACTTAATTTAAAACACTTGACGGATTATGGTGTCTGAGTCTTGGATTACACGAGCGAATTTTCCTGAAATTTATTTATTAATTACATAATATTAAAAAAATGTCCAGTCTTGAACTCGTTAACCACACTTTATGACACTGCTGTATAGTGTCTAGGTCAATTAACCAAAGCAAATTGCATGGTTTTACGAATCAATTCAGCAGTTAAAGCTTGCTAAAACCCCCCGTGCT